GCATAGGGAACACGGGCCTTTTAAAAGAATTTGCTACACTTCATTTTGAAATCCACTATGTCTATAATATATGTCTGTTGAAATATAATTATCTTGTAAGTACCTATATGGATCATATAATCATTTTGCAGACAGTGTTATATATTAGGTTTCATGAAAAATAAGTATTGTATTGTATATTTTCGCCATTTGGCCTCTCATTTACGTAGTTATGCCGTAGTTATACATATGTATGTATGTAATATTATGTTATCTGTGGTAGAAGCGAGATTACTATAGTAATTAACCAAGCTCCTGTAAGAAGCGCAGAAGCCTCCTGATATCAATTCTCCATTCATACATCCATATATCCATACACTTTCGCGTTTATAATATTAATATTTTATTAACGCGATATAATGTTAGAAGAGTACGAATAAGATCTGCATAAATTGATATTGCCTTCTCCTTTTTATTACCGAACACCTTTTAATACCCGACGAATTTTATCCTTAGGTACCTCGTAGAAATTGTACATATCCCCACAGAGAGATTGGAGTCATCATTTTTAATCCGTACTGCTACAAAATGGAACATCGAGAAATACAACCTTGGACTCTTCAAGACGGTGAATACCTGCTTCGTATAGGTGCCACTCTAGTAAAAGAACATAATACAAAGCTGAGTTTAGTTATCGGAGCCAAGCAAACAATACATAACCGTAACTGAAGCCTACGCTTGTAGAAACATAAAAAAATTGCACAATAAATCACAAAGGATGTCTAATGAACGCGTTTTGTGGCGATTGCGTCCAAAGTGTCAGTATTAAACTTGTATTGTGTCTGCTCACACCCAATTTCACTAGGCATCGTGGGCGGCGTGTGACTAGTTTTGCATCGAGGTTTTACCCGCTGTATAATTAAAAATAAAATTGCCGCCACCCACTGCATCGCCTCGAAAGACAGCTTCATTATATAATACATATTTAAAAATATAAACCACTCATTATATTACATTATCGCGATTAATTTAGTTAATGTACTTTATTATTATGCTTACAATTCCATTGTTTTTCGTTAATGTGCATTTTTCTTTATGAACGGCTACGAAGATTCGCAGTATGATGTTTAATAGTCTATTACCTTGCCAGAAAATTGGGCTATTAGTCTATATTAAAAATGGGATTGGTAGATATAATTAACGAGTTCAAACAAACACCTTTAGGTATAGTTATTAGTAAGCAGTACAAAGTAACTTCGTCTGCTCTTTTTTAAATAAAAGTCTGTCTCTATTCTCGTTATACGATCTATCATTACGTAAAATTTCATTAACGGGTTCAGGCGTTTAGTCTAGAAAATGTAACAAACAGACAGACACATTTTAATAGATACGATATGAGTATGGATGTACGTTCTATACCTACGCGACAAATGTTACGGTCGCGATAATTAAGTATAGAAATTGTCAATCCTTTATTGTCGATGGTTAAACTCAGCCTTGACCGTTAACAATACATAGCCAGTAATAGACAAGCAATTACTTTACGAAGTTCATGTGTTGCGAGATTCATGTGTTGTTTCTTATAATTTACTTATTCGACTAGATATTTATGATTAAAACTAACTGCTTTGTTTTTTTTTTTGTGAAACATAATGGCAAACAAGCGGTCGGTATCTGATGGTTGACGACGACAGGTTAAAAAACAAAACTTATGTTCTCATTGAACCCTAGTAGCCGAAAATTTTAAAGCCGATTAAAAATGAAATATCACTCCTCAGTAGGTATACGTATAATACGACCCCTCCAGAAATATATTTCAACCTAGAATCAAATTCGTCACAGATACTACAAGATGGAGGCATCCGCATCTAAAATTACTTTAAGGGAAAACAAGTGGAGCAATTGTGACTATAATAATAAAAAAAGTGTTTGAGATTTATATTAAAATCCTAAACAGTTTTTTTTTTTTAATTTGGATCTATATATGGCACAAGTACAAATTTATACGAATTTTTATTTCCACTAATCTTTAATTTAGTCACCAAAGTCTAGTAGTAAATTGAAAATATTATATTTTTCTATAAACTTTAAGTCTTCACGTAATTATAGTAAAGCTTAAAATATGATGCGTTTCGAATTCTAAGTAATGCGTTTTACAATCGTAACTATTTTCACTGTGTACGTACGTAGGTACTTAATTTTACGCTTACGGTGTAGTACTTCGATTTAGTTACATCACCAAATTACTGATTTATTGACCACTTACAATACACGCTTAGAACTATGTTTAGAATTGAAAAATGTACCTTATTCAATAGCAAGTATGATTAATGGAAGATCCCACAGATCAATTTAGATTGGCTCGCTCTAAATTATTGTCGTTTTGTATTCGATCAAGTTGCAGAGATGAGAAACATTACTTTTCCCACGATGTGGCTGCCAACGGTCTGTTTATATGGAATTTTACGTGAAAAATATAAAATGGCCCTAGGATTAAATTTAAACTTGAACCAAGGAGATTTCCTAGGTTTAAATTTAAGTTTAGGGTCTTTTAATTATAAAATACTGAATACCAGGTATTTATTGCTTATAGTTACCGGCACAGTCAGAATTTAGACATCCCATACTCGCTATTATATACGAGTGTATAATAACAGTTTTTAGCTCCATTTCCATTCAGACCTATTCTTAGATTTATATTTGACGAGCTTAACCTGCGACTTGGTCCGCGTGGATTTTTTTTATTATCATAATGAGTAAAATTTCTATAATAAAAGTAGCCTAAGTTACTCGTTCACGTTATATTAGATACTGCGAGTGAAAGATTCTTATACCTGACGTTTTTTTTAACGTGTAGAAAATCTTCAATAGACTTTCACCCCGCCGGAGGTATGACGGGGTGGTGTGGGGAATTTTTGCCCAATAGAAACGACACGATGGACCTGCAAGCGCCTATGCCAGAGCTGGATCCCTGACGGGTCTATATAGCGAACTTTAAAAGGCAAGTACATTAGATAGATTCATAGATATGATGGTCGCTGTGTACAGGTCTTAGAACCTGACAATAGTCCAAAATCCCTAATAAAAAAAATTCCATTTTTCAATCGGCCGTCAGCTCGTTAGCCATCCAAAGGGGAATACAAATGTATGTATTTGATGAAATTTAGAATGAACTATTAATGACGATGAAGATAATTGGAGCACAACATAAATTGCATGTAATCTATCATATCAATGTAGGTATCTAATGGATTTTACAACTTTCTAGAGTGACATTACGGTCAGACAGGTCATAGGTGGCTGTAGACTAATTAGTGTACTGCTTATTGTCTGGTAGACGGGCAGACAGCGTGGGTCGCGAATACAGAGGCTCAATTAGACGCATTATCATTCGGTGAAATGTTATTGATTCCGTGTTATGCAAGTTATAAGTGTCTATTGAAAGACTCATTAGAAATATTTAATAGGTATATTACAATACCAAGTAGATATAATATAAAAATAATACCCCTGAACAATTCACACAACGTCATCTAGTCCGAAGGTAAGCAGACTTTGTGTTGGGTATTAGACAACTGATATTAATCGATTTTTTTGTTAATAGGTATATACTTAATATCACAGATAACATATATACTTAATATACATAGTAAACACCCAGACCGATACATCATACTCATGAATACAAATGATCGCACAGTGCGAGGAATCGAACTCGCGACCATCGGAAGTAAAGCGGTATATTGAATCGTTTACCGATGGTCGCGGCATATTAATTCACACAAGGATTTTCAGTGTTGGCCAGATTCGAAGTGACGACCTTCCAGTAGAAGTTTAAAGATATGTTTTGTACGTTTTTAGTATCCATAATACAAGCTCTACATAATTTGAGCTAGACGTCTCTGTGTGATGTATCCAGGAATTATTGTTATTTCGGAATTAAAGCGATTGGACTCTGGCCATCAGTGACCCCTTATGGGGCACCGGGTATGGGACCGAATATAGCGTATATTCGGTCCCGTACCCGGTATACTACTCGGGTGAATCAGCCCTCCCCCGCCCCCCGCCCGCTGTGAAAATATTTCGTTTAAAATTATATATTTTAACATGAATACTGAAGTATTTTCATACCTATTATGTAATTTACAAAAAGTATTTAATGAAAATGATTATTAAGAATTCTACATTCCTTGAGATTTTCAAATTTGATCACTAACGTGCAGGGATGTAATAGAAACACAAAAAATATATTTGTTTATATATTTATTTTGACAACAATATTATTTCTAACAAAGTACAATATTATTTGGCAAATATTTGGCTAAAATATAAATAAACTAGGTATTACTTAAACTAACATTTAATAAGTAATTTCTGGATGCAATAGCACAGGTACATAATGATGTTATTTTGTTACGACAGTTATTACTCATTCATGCCTAAATAGCTAAATTCATTGTGACGAATTTTGGCATAGATATAGAGAGAATTTTGAAAATGGTTATAGGTTGTATTTTTCGTAAAAACCTCTCTGGAGTGACAATATTTATTGTATAAAATGCTGCTACATCCCATTTGATAGCTATTTGACAGTTTGTATACCATGCAAAATTTCAAAAATGTAAAGTTGTATAACATTCCTATAATAAATCAACATGCAGGTGTCTTGTTTATTCTTCTTGGCTAAATCCTCATTCCGAATGTATCAAATATTTATAAAGTTTGATTAATATAAAATTTATTTATAACAAAATAAATAATAGTAAAATAATAGTTGTCATTGTTTGGTGATTTTCACCCGCAACGAGATTATCAACTCGTCAAAGATTGATATATAAAATGTATATATAAATAATAATAATAATGTTTATTTATTTCAAGACATATTCGAAAGAGTACAGCTTTACTTGTACTAGCTTTTTTATTTATTTTTAAGTGAACAGATATTTAAAAATAACAAAAGAAATGAGCCTTTAATACTACTTTCACCGTAACGTAATTTATTTATGAATTAGACAGAAACAGTACCTCACAGTACATTCAGGGCAAAAGGAACTTGGCTGATGCTGTGAGTGTAACTGGTTTGATTACTTGTACTGCCTACCAGGGTGAAATAACGTATGCGGTGTCAATTATATGAAGTAGAAGCTATGCGGCTGCAGCTCGAGCTGCGCCATCTTGGCTAGCAGACGGTGTAGACGACGTTGGGCTGCGTGCGCGGCGTGCTCGCCGTGCGTGGTGGCGTGCGGCGTGGCGGCGTGTGTGGTGGAGTGTGTGGTGGCGTGCGTGGTGGTGGCGTTCTGTGTGGTGGACACGTGCGGCAGCGTGCGCACGGCGGACGGCCGCGCCGCTCGACACGTGTCCAGCCGCTGTTCCACGTGCCGCGGCATCTGTTCGTACATCAAGTATTTGTTGAACTATTTGTGCAACTTGTTAAGGTAAAGGGCCATATTATGGAACATTGTACTAGTTTATGAAACAAGTGATAAAAATCCGAATTACAAATAATTTCTAACGTATTCAGTATTTATAATATTATCTTTATGATCTTTAATAACCTATTTATTGATTAAATTAATTTATTTTTGTAAACACCTTAAAATGTATAGAAAAAAAAATAGATGAAATGCCCGTGTCAGGTTGCATGAAAAAAGACTGTCTTTTAGAGTTAGAGAATGACACGTGTCATCACAATTGTTTTAACTATTTGAAATATTTGTCAATGATACAAAAATACTTGAAACATGTCAATCAAAAGTTTGACATATTATCTATTGATTGATAATGAATTTAAAGTACTTTAATAAGGTATTTATTTTTTATTTAGGTGTTTCATAATTGCCGCAAAAATTTCTAAACAGACCGTATTTATGGAACAGTATATTCAGTGTTCCACATCCCCCTCACATTCGATTTTCTTAGTTGTCCGTAATTATGAAACAGCAAAAAGTGGACAATATTTAGTTAATTTCGTGTTAATCATTGTTAATTAATTACAACAAAGCAATTTACGTTAGAACAGATTATATTTCTAAAAATTTGCATTTAAATATGTACATAGATTGTAAAATTCTATGAAAATGAAAAATTAACCTCAAAAATGAATAAGCTGGATGATAAATATTGTTTTATATTAATTAAAACATATACTTAAGTGGAAAACCTGCCTGAAAAAATTAATAACACTTTAATTCAAAATTTTTACGAAGCACCTACATATCACATTTTTATAGATGTTTTTAAATTAATAATTTTTGTAGGTAGATACATTTTTTTTATAGAATTTGATATCTTTATTCTATAGATTTATTTTATATTGTTATTTTTATTTTTAATTGTTTGGTATAATTTTTATAATTTGATATTGGTTGGTTTTCCTGAAATAAATAAACTAACTGTCAAAGAAGTGACGTTGGTAAATTTGAATTTTTAGTGAAAGAACAGAACAGTAAGAAAATAATTTGATTAATAATCAAGTCGAATGATAAAACTAATGATTACATGACACTTAACAATGATTGTCATTCTTCTAATAAATATTCTCCTCTGATAAATACCAGTACCCAGTCTCAACAAAGCAGCCATTCCTGAGGTAATTACTGTATGAAATTATAGTATAAAATGAACCTTAGATATGGTTACTGAAGCTCATTCTGGTATTTATGAAAGTAGTAATTTAAATTGACTAAATTTAACTAATATTTTGAAGCGTAATGTTGGTGATGAATTAATATTTTGAGTTGAATTTGAAGTCAAGAAAAAATAGATTAAAGTTGAGTCATCAGGTAAACTCAAACTACCTTCTGCTGGCACATCTGATCAATGGATGCAATATGACTAAAAAAAAGAAACTGATCGTAAAACTAAAGAAGAAAAGCTACATAAAAGAAAACAATTACTAAATGAGAAAAAAGTGATAGCTGATGAACGGAAAAAGCTACTAGAGAACGCATTACTACAAAGGATCAAAGAAGAAATGAAATAGTTGAATTTTTGGTTTAATTTAATGTATATTTGGTTTTTATATCTTGTTTATTAATGCTAAGATTTGAAACTGTTTTTGTCATACTTACTTTGTAAGTGAATATTTATTTATTGCTTGTTTATTCGTATAATTTTTAAATCTAACTGTATTAATAATTAGTAATAAAACTTTTGATACTATGAATAAATAAATTAGTAACTGAAAAATGTTTTTAATGCGAGTACTTCAGTTCATTTTGAGTTCCATAATTTGGGACATTCCCGATGGAACACCCGTACGTGTTGCTTTAGACTGTTTCATAAATACGGCCGTATGTACTTGTCTGTTATTTTATTCAATTTATTAGCATTTTCAACTAAAACTCACTTGATAATAATTATTATCACTTCAGTAGATATCAGGCAAACTATTAACTTAGAAAAATTCAATGTTTCAACTCTATTTTTTTTGTAAACAATGTAAAATATTCAACTCCTACTCAAAAGGTGTTTCATAATATGGCCCTTTACCTTATGTAGCTGAAGTCACAATATTTTTATAATTTCTCGTGTTTATACATTCCACACATGCATACAAATTGAAACGGTTATCATATTTGAATGTTCCTGCAACACTGTTGATTATCTAAAGACTGCTTTTCGTTTACTTTGGGAGCAGTGGAATTTTATATTGATATTTTAATAGAACAATAAATTGCGATGATAAATTGAATTATGCTTAAAAGGTGGCCGGTCGGCATATAAATATACAACTATAGCTACAATCCCATGTAGACTAACCAAATATTCTGTGTTGGTTTCAGTGTAACTAATAGCTTCATAAACAAAAGTAATAAAGTATTGTTACTTTGAATACCACACTTAGAAGGAAGAACGTTCACCAATACAACCTTAATGTGTAGGAAGTCTCAATACAATCAATTTGAAAATAAATTCCATAATAATTTTATTTCGGGTCTCTAAAATTGTAAAACAACAAAATGGCCCTTACGTTGAATAGTGGCGAGTGTAGTATAGGTATCCACAAAGGCAGCAGTTTGTTGAGCACAGTCGAATTGCATTCTAATAGTGACTCCAGTAGACTCAGGAAATGTAAGTTTACGGTTTCAGCCAACTGTGGACGAAAAGAAATAATATACAACTATAAGTCGAAACGGCAATATTTGGCAAGTGATTCGAGGTCGATTAATCAGGATACATTCTTTTAAATGTCAACTTATATGTAGACGTTATATATAGAGGTCTACATTTTAACTACAATGTAAGGTACATGGCAGTCAAATAGACAGAAACTCAGCTTTAGAAGAAAAAAACTGCTTATTAGCTGAAATAGGTGCAACATATTTATACATCTAGTAACACGTAAAACAAAAAATTTACCTCACTAAGGATTTTATATAAGTCTACCTTAGAAAAGCAGTTATTAACAGACCGATAACTCTGAACAATCATTTATTCAGGTATATTTGTATTAAAACTTACCACTTTAGACTGCACAGTGACCTGCAGAATACTTGGTACAAGCTTGCACCAGAAGTCCAGGAGAATGCATATGGTAGTATTGTGTGGTTCACTGCTCGGTGTGCTGGCTGAGGCTAGCTCCTCCAAGTAAAGCGTCCATAGTTGGCACAGGATGAACGCATGGAATAGGGCGTTCATGCGTTGTGGTGCCGGTTTAGTTTGTTCCACGTACGAAGACATTATTGTCTGTAATCAGGACATTACCCATATTATAGAGACTGTTTCCTGATAACTACGAAAAAGACTCGGTAGACTTATAACTTATATTCACAGTATATTGACAAATATTGTCAATATGTTATGCGAGAAAGTCTCGGTGAGCGACGTTCGGTGTGCGGTGTGCGATGTGCGGTGTGCGGTGTGCGGTGTGCGGTGTGCGATGTGCGATGTGCGGTGTGCGATGTGCGATGTGCGGTGTGCGATGTGCGGTGTGCGGTGTGCGATGTGCGGTGTGCGGTGTGCGGTGTGCGGTGTGCGATGTGCGATGTGCGGTGTGCGATGTGCGATGTGCGGTGTGCGATGTGCGGTGTGCGGTGTGCGGTGTGCGATGTGCGGTGTGCGGTGTGCGGTGTGCGGTGTGCGGTGTGCGGAGTGCGGAGTGCGGAATGTGGAATGTGGAGTGCTGAGTATGCAGTGCGGAGCCAACCTGTATATGGTCGGTGATGTGGCAGGTGGCGTCCTGCGGCACGGGCTGCTGCAGCGGAGGACGCGCGCGTGCGTTGCACAGCGCGCCCATCACCAGCCACGACACCAGCCGGACGCGTCCTACACACTCGCCCACCTCGCGCGACCTGCGCACCGAATTAAAGGATTGTAGGAGGCAGCTATTGAAACTGTCAAGTGCTAACTATTTGACCAGAGCGTCAACTTTTAGACATTATTTTTTTGGTAAATGATAATTGTATCAAATGTGTGAGGAAATGTGATAAGTGATTGGGAGATACAAACCCAGGCATAGAAGATGTAAGCCAAGGCATGTGCCGAGCCGCTTGACCACGATCTTGCTTGCCGCGGGAATGTTCCAATGCCAGCTCCATCGCGACGTACTGCGCGATGCCACATTTTACGATAGCGCCCAGGGTGTCTTCATTCAGGCAGATCAGATTGCGGTTCACTATCGACTTCGATACGGACCCCTGAGGAACAGAATAATATATTGATTAATTACACATATTTTTACTGTGACAACTACAATTTTACGAATATTTGCGTCCAGCTCCCGCGCGCCCCCGGCGGCCCGGTACGTACCTTGATCTTGTTGAGCAGGTGCGGGTCGAGCAGCAGGTCGAGCATGTCGGGCAGGTGCGGCCGCATGCAGTCGACGGCGCCGCCGCCCAGCTCCCGCGCGTCCCCGGCGGCCCGGTACGTACCTTGATCTTGTTGAGCAGGTGCGGGTCGAGCAGCAGGTCGAGCATGTCGGGCAGGTGCGGCCGCATGCAGTCGACGGCGCCGCCGCCCAGCTCCCGCACGTCCCCGGCGGCCCGGTACGTACCTTGATCTTGTTGAGCAGGTGCGGGTCGAGCAGCAGGTCGAGCATGTCGGGCAGGTGCGGCCGCATGCAGTCGACGGCGCCGCCGCCCAGCTCCCGCACGTCCCCGGCGGCCCGGTACGTACCTTGATCTTGTTGAGCAGGTGCGGGTCGAGCAGCAGGTCGAGCATGTCGGGCAGGTGCGGCCGCATGCAGTCGACGGCGCCGCCGCCCAGCTCCCGCGCGTCCCCGGCGGCCCGGTACGTACCTTGATCTTGTTGAGCAGGTGCGGGTCGAGCAGCAGGTCGAGCATGTCGGGCAGGTGCGGCCGCATGCAGTCGACGGCGCCGCCGCCCAGCTCCCGCGCGTCCCCGGCGGCCCGGTACGTACCTTGATCTTGTTGAGCAGGTGCGGGTCGAGCAGCAGGTCGAGCATGTCGGGCAGGTGCGGCCGCATGCAGTCGACGGCGCCGCCGCCCAGCTCCCGCGCGTCCCCGGCGGCCCGGTACGTACCTTGATCTTGTTGAGCAGGTGCGGGTCGAGCAGCAGGTCGAGCATGTCGGGCAGGTGCGGCCGCATGCAGTCGACGGCGCCGCCGCCCAGCTCCCGCGCGTCCCCGGCGGCCCGGTACGTACCTTGATCTTGTTGAGCAGGTGCGGGTCGAGCAGCAGGTCGAGCATGTCGGGCAGGTGCGGCCGCATGCAGTCGACGGCGCCGCCGCCCAGCTCCCGCGCGTCCCCGGCGGCCCGGTACGTACCTTGATCTTGTTGAGCAGGTGCGGGTCGAGCAGCAGGTCGAGCATGTCGGGCAGGTGCGGCCGCATGCAGTCGACGGCGCCGCCGCCCAGCTCCCGCGCGTCCCCGGCGGCCCGGTACGTACCTTGATCTTGTTGAGCAGGTGCGGGTCGAGCAGCAGGTCGAGCATGTCGGGCAGGTGCGGCCGCATGCAGTCGACGGCGCCGCCGCCCAGCTCCCGCGCGTCCCCGGCGGCCCGGTACGTACCTTGATCTTGTTGAGCAGGTGCGGGTCGAGCAGCAGGTCGAGCATGTCGGGCAGGTGCGGCCGCATGCAGTCGACGGCGCCGCCGCCCAGCTCCCGCGCGTCCCCGGCGGCCGCCAGCAGTCCGCCGCCGCCGCCCGCCCCCAGCGCGCCCGGCAGCGCCAGCCGGCACCCGTGACCTGACGCCACCACCGCTATATTTATTCCCGAGACGTAATAGACGAGGCATAACAGACGATATATTTTAAATACAGAGCTCGGTAAGACGCGGGGATATACTCTACAGAATTGTATTCTGCCTATAGTCTTCTAAGTATAAGCATACCGACAAAGCTATCTATGGAATGAACGGTATAGCAGCAAATAAAATAAAAGTAAAATTATAATTTTCTGCAAATACTAACAACAATAACTGACACAAAACATAACATTTTTATCAGGCGCTCTTTGTAACATCAATTGGTTGACGACGAACGACAAGTCGATAACGGCATTACATTTAATAGGATAATAATCTTAATTTATATATCTTAATTTTCAAAATCCTCATTATTTTTATACAAATAACAGATTTGTCAAAACATAACAGAAAGGCGCTTTACCTTGTAGCACGAACTGTATCAACACAAAGAGATTATCATCAGGCACGGTGGTCTTGGTACGGAGAGCCTGCACCAGCTCGTAGACCAGCACCCGGCACACCAGCAGGCGGTCGCGGTCGCGGCTGAACACGCGCACGCACGCCATGCTCAGCTCAGAGATCACCGACAGCCGCACCACGAAGTTCTGGATGCCGTAGCTCACGATCTTGGAGATTGGTTCGAGTATGCTCTGTGAGACGAAGATGATTGTTAGTACTATGGAATAATAATAATACTATTACTAATAAATCTATTGCCAGCAATGGACCACGTGAGGTTTGGCTCCACGCGGTTCTATCTGAAAATTCTCGTGATAAATTCCTGCTGAATTTACCACGCTAACAAGATGACTGGCTGATTTCATGCTTATCTTATCATTCTCTATTAGTTCCCGGCGAGCGACCGTTAGCAGGCGGGTGAACAATTCCAATCCAACTCATTAAAATAAATGCCCGGCGTGGCGCAGCATGTCGTCTAGCTGCACCAGCTGCAGCTCCTCCAGCTGCTGCAGCGGAGACGTGGCGAGGCGGCGGCGAGGCGGACGCCAGTAGAGCGAGTACCTTGTGCTGAGCAGCGCCGGGCACGCGTAGCGCAGCGGCGGCCAGTCGCAGCAGCGGCAGCACATCGTCCAGCTGTGGCAGCTGCAGCGCGGCGCCACGCAGCAGCGTCTCCAGCTGCTGCACGAGCGCCGCGCACGCCGCGCCCGGCCCCAGCGCCTCGGGCGCCAGGCACTCCACGTACATGGCGATGTTGCCCGCTATTACGCTCAGTTGCTGCGACCACGCGTTACATACACGACATCTCAATTAGTTACTCGATATTGTAGTCAAAGATAATACCTCATCTTTTATATATCTGCATTCTATATATGCAATGCTAAATTTATACAATTAGAAAAAAAAAACTTCAACATAATAACTTAATAATATTTTTAAAATACAGTAAAAACTTGAATAATGTTAGACTCATCGTACATTATGATCCTCATAAATAAGAACCAGTAATACCAATTTCTATTTAATTTTATTAATGTCCCTGTAAAAGGGAATTCGATGTGTTAAGCAAAATCTACACCAGTACATTGCGGTGTTCAATTCTCGCTTGCTCGAGCTTCAAGTGCTGTGGCATAAGAGACATGTAGATCCACATCTATATCTATGCTCCTCGCGCATGCAGTTTATGCCTCGATTAGCCATTAAAAATGCCGAACTCAGAACTTATGGTGTTCATCAATTCCAATGCATGCATTATGGTTTCCCAGGTATCAGAGAAAGACGAAAGATGAACATGAAAGCACTCTTATTGCTCAAAAGACACTCCAAAACAATTCAACCTCTACATTTGTTTAGGATACGAGTCGTCTGTATCATAATGTACGAAGCATCTTATTAATTCGAAATAGTTAATAATATTTACGTCAATAGGCAAGGTTTTCTTCGAGTTAAGATGCTCGATGACCAGCTGCAGCGGACCGCACGGGTACAGTTCGTTGAAATCCACGAAGGCTTGGGCAATACTCTTGAAAAACATCAACCGTTGCTTTTCTGTTGAAATTTCATACATTCTGTACACTTGATACATAATGTTCGCCTGGTACCGTTAGCAGCAGGAAATGGAATGAGCAATCAAGGATTCAGTAGTATGTATGTATAATTGATACATTACCTTTTGTAATGTGTTAATTACTATATATATATATATATATATATATATATATAATATTACATGTGAGCAGTGAAACAGATTCGGTCTAAATACAATCAATCAATTTGATACAATCTTCATGCGCAAGTCACACAGAAGCCGTAACATGTTTCCATAAATATTAAAATTTGTAACAAGCAGAAATGCCGGCGTTAAATCTTGAAAAGGTAACAAAGACAGACAGACAAGACATACTTCTACATTTGTAATATTATGAATGACCTCTAGATTGGCACCTAAGAGATGCATGTCTAGAGCAGCACAGATATTTAATCAGACCTCTGATTACATCAATTATAATAAAAATTATGTATTCAATATAAGCAGTTCTGTATAATCTACGGTACACACAATGTAATTAAACTGGCATGCAATTTTGGTAGCTATAAGACGCGGTTTCGCACAGCTTTGTTAAAGAAGAAAATGAGAGCAACTGAACATTGATCTGTAGATTAATAATAACCTAAGACAATTAACCCAGATTTACTAACAAAACTCCAATTTCAAATTTAGATAATAAAAAAACGTTAACAGTCCATTTAGTCCCAAACTAAGCAGATCTTGTGGCTATGCATACTAAACAAGTGAGAGATGTTACTAATATATATTATATATATTTTTTTAATACCTAATAAATATATATATATATGGATAACACACAGCCAATACAATCATACTCATTAATACAAATGTTTGGATCGTGCGAGTCATACATTTTTTACTTTTTCATATGATTTTTCAAAGATTGTCTTACAAACCTTATAATGATAACACTCCATGCAGCCATGAAGTGGCGAGCCCATGTACAATCTTCAATTCAAATTTATTTACATACATATATATATAACTGTTCAATTATTCATTTTTGTATTTCTAAATTGGACAGTCAAAATGAAGTTATTACCTTCTTGCTTCCCTCTTGGTATTTAATTCTATTAAAACAAAGAATTTGAACAAAGCGAATGTGACAGTATGATGGTGGTGGTGTGATGCCGTCATACCAGGAGTCCTCTGCAAGAATATCTGCAAGAAGACGTTGTTGGGCGCGAGCTGGTGCAGCACGCAGCGCAGGAACTGGTGCGCCACGAACACCGCGCTGCCCGGCAGACGCGTATTGGTCTCGACCTGCCACGAGTACTGGCCCAGCTGCACCACCCTGCACCCACCTCCTGCATCACCCTCAGTGACCCACACACGATATCACCCACATTGACCCCACACAATATCACCCTCATTGACCCACACACAATATCACCCTCATTGAACTCACACAATATCACCAGAGGGGAAAGGGGATTGTTAGTAATGTGGATTTATGCCCCCATTGCTAAACAATGTACCATGTTAGGTTGATCTCCACGCGGTTCCCCCTGGAACAGATCTGACCTCATGTTCATTTTATCACCCCCACTAGTGCATCATTCCATTATCATGCTTAAAAGAATATCACCCTCATTAACCCATACAGAATCACCCTCATTTTACAGCCGCTTGTATTTTTTCTAAGCTGTTCACAATTAGCAATACTGAACCACAATAAAGAATAATATTAAACTGCAATTAAATAAAACCAATATAGAAGAAAATAATATTTATTTTTAAACTGTCGTGTTTAATTGATTATTTATATTGTGAACCGGGTTTTAACACGAATAATTTTATGGTAAATAAAGGTTAACACCCAGTTAACAATGTAAATAGTGTACAAGAAAACAAGTTTTAACCGTGGTAGTAATTTGTATAAAGCCATTCACCTGGATATCTTTATCTCACTTCTATCCGCTGTCATACTTGCTTAACTGTTACGGTTTGAAATATGCATGACGGAGGCATGACTCCTTAGTCCTTAGGCATATCAACGTAAGGGACACTACGGGCATCCCAAAATCATTTTGTTATATCCAAAGACCTATTAATGGACGGTAGCTACCACTCTGCGTCAACCATCCACAAATCAGGCCATCAGCTAGGTCAAGTGGATTGGAACTAATCAATAACAGAAAAATGTAGATCAGCTGTTACATGTTTATGTACTCGAATAATTTTACGAAAAATTTTAAGTTTCAACTGCGTATATTATAGTGAAAATTTTGGCCATGAATCAGTAAGTACTCACAGAATGAATGTTTACATAAGGAACAAAAATACTTTTTATGTAAAAGGAATGATAAACAATCTGACGGCCAGCCTGACAGTAAGTAGCAACCATTAGTACGCCATTATGCAATACCTGCGCTACCCTTCATACGTTGTCTGAGAACCAAGGAGTGCCACCGTATTTTATAATTGCACTGCCATATCTCCTCCATCAAACTCTAACAGCTTATAAAGCAAGCTGTTTGTCGGTAGAAATAAATGAGATAAAATTATCCGCGCAATTGACTTTTAAAAAGGTTAGCTACCTCGGTAAATATTCAGATCCTATAAATAAAATATAAAAAATAATATGAAAATGATATGAAAATAAAACCTATGATTGTTTAATGTTATAGAGCTTAATATACTATACATATAACATCATTTATAACACAGATTTTTATGTAGAAACATGTAGTAAACATTATTAATATAGTTAATCGAGTCTTAACACCAATAATTTAATGCTACGTAAGGTATATACGACGCTTCGACTGGGATGTGATCACGAGTTGACTAGAGTGCAGCGATGTCTATGTTGATAGGTGTCGGCAGTTTCTTCAACTACCTTCACCGGATTTTCAAACGAGACATCGCGACACACAGCACTCCGTACACTTATTAACCGACGCTAGTGGTGCCTACAATATGTATTTGAATACGATGTGACATATACATAAATTAGAGTTGCCAACTGTCCTGTTTTCCCAGAACATTTCCTTTTTTCTAATGTCCTGGGACGTCTTGAAAGCTATTCAAAACGTCCCAGAACGTCATCATGTCTTGAATACAAAAAATGATTCTTGGGTATTTAAAAATTCTGTTTCAAATATTAAAATAAAAAAAAGGATATAAATTGATTCAAATACTTTTATAAAAATATGAAATTTTAATTTCTTGACTTGCATTTCATCTATTTTCAATAAACATTAATTTTAACTATTGCAACTCTATTAGTGCGTCCTGTTTTTAAACTGAAGTTCTAGATTTTCCGACTTAGAACCCTGTTTTTTTTTTAAATATATTGGCAACCCTAAGATAATTAAGTGCACATCTTACTATATACCATCAAATCATCAATCATATATACCAAGAAAGATGGCGGAATCGTAGTTCACAAACACGGCCGTCACTAATCTGTAGCCGAAGATATACAGTTGAGACCTCTCGTCTGTATGCAGTACAGCTAACAAATGATATCGGAAGCTATATTGCATTCAAACGGGGGGTACCGACTGACTTTGTGAGCAGCGCTGGCGGCAAAGGACGACGTAGGGGACACCTCTAGTTTAAAACTATACAATACAATATCATAGAATTATTTGTGTTAAGACCTTCGTGAATTGAAGATGTAATTTGCCTTTACACGACACGTTCATTCACGCCATCAGGAACGCGCGCTATTTAGCGCGAGAAAGCGCGCGCATTTAACTTTTTTTTTCACTCTTTCCGCGTGAGCGCGTAATGTTATTTTAATTTTTTTTTTAATTTGTTTTATATCCCCAGATTTTATTTTCCAAAGACACGTTTAAAATTTAAAAGTTATTAATAACTCTATAAATATGTCTCTGCTCCAAAGACAGATATCCGCCATTTTGCTATGATAATTAAGGATTATAAAATACGCACGCACGATTGAAGACGCGGGAATGCGCTCACTGGCGACGCGCACGGTCTTTCTCGTTCTCTTTATCTACATTTACATGCACTCTCTTTCCTGCATGAAAAACTATTTGCGCGTGAAAGAGCGTACGTGTAAAGGCACCTGTTGAGTAAATAAATGAAAAATACAGAGTAATAAAACATGAGAGCCGGACAGTTTGGAAAACCTTTAAAACTAATAAAAATAATGATCTAATAATCTCAGAACAATTCACACAGCGCCACTTAGTCCCAAGTTAGACTAGCTAAAGCTTGTGTTATGGGTACCAGATAATTGATACAAATACATCGATTATTTTTATTAAATACATACATAGAAAACACCCAGACCGATACAAACATGAGTTCATTCATTCATTCATGAGTATGATACTTATGAATATAAATGTTTGTGCCGTGCGAGGAATAGAACCCGCGACTACCGTGGCTGTCATTAAAAGTTGTCCAAATTGCCAGTCTCTTATAATTAAACCATGCATATAGGTTATGTATATGTCACAGCAGAATTGTAACTTTATCAGTTCACAATCTAGATCGCGAGGTATAATTATACGTGTTAAGATCCGATTAAATATATTAATAATGTTAATACTTTCACAGATCATATTAACTAAACAAAACAATATAAATAAAGAGTCTCGCACTATGTACAGCCTTTTAATATACATTTAAAAGTTGTACAAAGTGCCAGAGTCTTTGAAATTAATGTCTTTGCATACAGATCATAGTATATCACCGTAAGATTGTAAACTTCGTTAGTACATAATCTTTTGGATTGTGAAATGTACTATATTGCTATCGGCGTAAGGTTGTGAATAGTTTCTTAGTAATGTTTGTATTGTCCAAGGAATAGAATTCGCGGAAGTGGTACTCTAAACCGCTAAAAGACATCCATTGGCTGATCAAAGTTCATATTTTAGTTGACGCATTTGGAATGGCATACGAGCAGACGGCCTACCTTATTGTAAACCGTAACTGATTATATATATGAACAAGCATTACGGACATCACGTTATCACGTGACGTTCGTGGTACCATTCATGCAATCTTTATATTATTAAATTTCGTATCTCTCAGGCATGAGTCGGTGTTTGAATATAAATTCTTCTGCGGGTTTGGATTTCCACCTGTACTCGCCTACTACCGTTTGGTGACGCTAGAAAGGCGAGCTGTTAGAAATAGTTTTAATTGTTTTTCACTATTCTAACAGCATTACGATAATTCGTAAAAAAATTAAAGTCCGCTGCGGCCAACACCATTACAATTCGAAGAAAAACTAACCGAGTTTACAATCTTAAGGTGTCATAACTCCACGGCTCCTACGATGCGAGTCGTCGGGGCGGTTGGGGTCGTCGGCCGGCGATATACAGCCGGGACCTCTCGTGTGTATGCAGTACAGCTAAGAGCGGTAGCTATACTGCATTCAAACGGGGGGTACCTGCTGACGTGGTGCAGCAGCGCGGGCAGCAGCGCGGCGGCGGCGGCCGGCTCGCGGTGCACGAACGTCGCCAGCACGATCACGCACAGCCCCAGCTCCTCGTCGCTGTACTGCTCCGCAGCCGTGCCGCACTCCGCGCCTGCGCGCACACCCACGCACAAACATACATCCATATAACTTTTATATTATATTTAGATATATCGATAGTATTGTAAATAAACACTAGCGCCATCTGTCCGTCTACACGTCTTACACTAAACTATGTACTTTGTTCCGTCTCTAATGGATGTTCTGGTCTGTGGCTTTTTATTTGCTGTGATATATATATATCTTTTCTAATTGATAGAATAGATTTGTAAATTGCTGTTTTCTATTATAAAATGTAATTAAATCCCTTAGATAGATACATAAAACTTTTAGATAAATAAAATCTTTAGATTCTCTATCTAACTTTTACACAAATATAATTTTAGGACAGATGAAACCTTCATTCTTTATAGTATTAGATGTTACAGAAGTCCGTTTGATTACTTAAAAAAATTAGTTTTTTTTAAATTCCGCTATCATTAGCATACAGCAATTTATACACACAGTAACAAAGATTCATTCATCAAACTCACAAGTTTATATTAATGCAGATTTACATAATATAGAAATGAGGAGTAATATAAAATTAGAAAATTCTAGAACAAATGCACGTGTGGCTGGGGAGGCAGGTGTAGGCGCGGTACTGACAGTGGTAGCAGAGCGTGGTGTCGGGCCGCGCGGGGGCGGCCGCGTGCGCCGCCCGCCGACCCCCGCGGCTCTCCGCCTCCCACCACGCGCCCGCCGGGCACGAGCTCTCTGCGTACAACACATACATTTTTTATATTTGTAGGATAGATTTAATGTTTACGTTGTGTTAAATCAAATCAAATCGAAAGGAAGTGTAAAGGCCGCTCAATCGTTAGTTCAGAATTATGGAGTTATATCGCTAACTAATGACAGAATAATAATTGTGGTCCTCCAAATCATTATGTAGGTATGTAGATAAGGTATATTGGTGTGTGGTGTGGTGGTGACGAGTGTGACGAATGTCACTAGTGTGACAAGAGTGACGAGTGTGATGATCGTGGCGAGAGTGTCACTTACCTGCTCGCGGCGGAGCGGGGGGCGGGGGCGCGGGCGGGGAGCCCAGCTGCGCCGCCTGCCGCGCCAGTCGCCGCGGAGACCGGCTACGTCACAAACAAATCATTGAACATTCTATATTGTTCACCACGCAGAAAAACAAACATATACATACACTAATATGTACAAATATATAAATATGTATAAACACAACAATGAGCAAGAGAAAAAAAATACGAGAAGACTGCGAATAGGATGGATGGAAAAGAAAAACATGTTACGCCGACCCAAAATTTTTTTTTATACTACGATGGTGGCAATCAAGCATACGGCCTATCTGATGGTAAATGGGTACCGTATCCTAATGAAGTAAGGAAGAAGCAGATGATGAATGAGGAAGAGAAAGAGGAGAATGAATTGTCAGGGCAAAATAAGGCCAATAACCCTCTCGATTTTTGCAGTTCAGTGAGACGAAGAGATATTATTTAATCATTATACAAATTGAGTTACTGGTAAACGCCAAGATGAGATAAATTGCATCAAGTATCTACTTATATCGTACATTGCTTCTGTGCCTAGACTTGTAATATTTCTGCCAAGCCTTATAACAGAGATTTAAGTTCAGTGTAAAGTCAGTCCATGTTACGACTCCGCATTAAGAGTACGCGTTACTAATAAGCCATGTAGCTCACTATCAACTAAACTTACTAATGTAGTTCAATTATTAGACCTGTATACTCACTACCTAGATACTATAAGAATCAAATTAAGTAAACACCTCATCACATCATATATAACGCTACAGCTGTGAGGTAATAACCATCATGCTATACTTCTATGATAAAAATAAAAGAAATAAGAACAGAATTTATTAAACTTTCTAATATAGCAATAAATAACATCTGTGCCCATTACCTACTGGCTTCCGAAGACTTTTTCAGTTCCTGAGGTCGATCCGAGGGTGTCGGCGTTGGTTCTAAATCTGAACGACTTGAATCCGTTTTGTCCGTTAAATCATCTATGATATAAAAGTTAGTATTATAAAAAGTTAGGTTAGAATTACCGAGTACTTAACTCAAACAAACATATGGAGGGAGCTAGATGTCTATTAGTGCGCAACTAGAGGGTCGACATCACCTGAAATCCATCATGATTAATTCCTGCTGAAAAGGGAAAAGGAAGGGGCAATATCTCAGGTTGACCTCCACGTAGTTCCCCCTGGAAACCACCGTTATAAATTCATGGTGAATTTACCACGATAGGCTAACTGATCTAACCTCATGCTCATCTCAGCATCCTCCACTGGTGCGCTGCCAGCGTAAACCGTTAGTGCAGACTGATGTACCATTTCATTTGATAACAGAGTAAAATGGGTGCACCATTTTGTGGTGGAAGAAATAAATTTAATATAAAAATACATACCTGGTGGTAAACTTAAAGCCTCCCGCACCCTATCCACTAAGGCGTTGAACACTGGATACTGTTCTTTGTTGGGCTTCGGGCCGATGGGCAGTAACCTAATTTTTTTATTGCAATTAGTATAAAGACACGCTTCTTGTCTAGTACTCATAACAAAAATTACTTACTTTGGAATTAGATACGACTGACTTAGACCTAGCGCTATGTGAATTGTCTAAAAAGAATTACAATTTACTATTTTATGTCTTCACAATCAGACATTGTCTTAGGTTTTTCCAACGACCTTAGTGGGTTGCCTGAACTTTTTAATATATAAAGGAATCGCATATAAAGTTTGAAAGACATACATTAAGTGACACAGTGTACAACTAGTTCAGGCAATAGAAATCGAAATTTCGAAACGTATAAACTTCGCAATCACGTGGCCAAGTTAGTGTAAAAATTAAAAAAGTATTAACTCGACTTGTCGGCATAGTTGTTTAAATTACGTGAGTCTATGTCTGATTTTTAACTTGGTACATGATAGTATTAGTGTAGAGTAAACCGGTTACCGTTCTTGCGGCGGGATGTGGAAGGGCTGCGCGGGGGGCGCGGGGGGCGCGGGGCCGGCGGGGGGCGGGCCGCGCGGGGCGCCCCACGCCACCTCCATGCGGGACAGCGGCGACTCCGGCGACGCGTACGTGCACCCCGCGCCTGGTACGACACACACCAAATATTTAGTTAGGTGTTACTACTAGGTCTGGTTTTTACTCGTTCGTTCATAATTTTGTAAATTATATATCTTTAAAATTAAATTAAGATAATATGAGTAAGACCCGCCTAACGAGTTCATAATCAGCAACACGATGGTAGTTGTACCGGTAGGGTTGCATGTGACCGGATTCGTTCGTATTAAACTTTCCCTTTAAACTCGACCTTGACGGCCGTCTCCGGGGCCGTGGTGGTGTAAGCGGTAGTAGTAGCGCGTCACCTGGGCTCTTGATGTGGTGGTGGTGGTGGTGGTGCGCGGGCGGCCAGGCCGCGAACTGTCCCGAGCCGCCCGACGACGGCGCGGTCTCCGGGGACGTGCTGCTGCCCACTGACACACCAAGCAATGCTCATTTAATACACACTGCTATTTCACGTTTTGCAAATCTGCTTTCTCGCAGATATATATAGACATACCCACACCAAGATAATAAAACGATTAAATACCAATATGCTGCTATAAAATATTTGTAAAAAGGACTCGACTCAGCTTACCGTTACAGCCACGCTAAAGAGCTCAATTTCAGCAGATTACACAAACAAAATTATTATAGATAGCTCGATAGAATTAATAAAAAATTGACGTTTATAAGTGCCTAAAATTTCATATATTAGTCCTCAGAAACTGTAGGTAACGCACTACATTTTATATGTCTACTTGCCATTCCTATTACAAAATAAAAAACGTCAGAGCATTTCACTCACCCACTATCCGCTTCTGCTTTCCTAGTACTTTGGCCCGTGGAGAAGTTTGCTGGCCATGCAATTGATCTGGCCAGATCTCCACTGACTGTCCGCTCATTGGAGTTGATTTTCTGGTAAGTAATGTTATTAGTTCTTTTTAAATAGAAAAAGTTTTTTCAAATATCCGGCTCGAAGGATCAATGCATTGAACATGATAACAGGATCATACTTAACTATAAACTAGTATAATGCGTAACTGTTATAACAGCCAGTGGAAATTAATGGCCTTTTTTTAAGAACAAAGGACCTCTCTCCCGTCTCACCTTATAATAAGTTAATACAGCCGCCGATGAGCACCCGTAACATCAGGAGAATAGACTTTGCAATGTTGCAAATAAAGACAAATGCATTGCAGTACTTTTAAGAAATAATACAAATAGAAAAGAAGGAATAAAACTAGAAAATACCAATAGCGAAAGCTAAACCACCGTTACATTGTCATACATTAAATAATTTGAAAGAGAATATATTCGAGTAAACAATAAAAGTATTATGAAGGAGTACTAACAAGTTGGATGAATCACTGCCAATGGATACTGACGAACTCGTGGACAGTTGATGTCCCGACCGGGAACTGGCCGTGGCTGTTTGCTGCAATGAATATGATAAACATATTATACAATTTGAACCTTATTTATTATTTATTTATTCATTTCATTATAAGAATTATACATTTATAATGTGAGACATACTAAACGAGGAAAAGGCTAAATTATATTTCGAAATTTACAATTTAATGAAAAATATATCATTTACTTTGTATATTGTATAATTACTTACAATTTTATTCAGTGACGGCGGTACAGATGTGGCTGGTGTGTCGATTTTGGGTGGATCTTCATAATGAGATGGTTCATCGAAGGATCCCTGCATATTTATTATAAATGAAATTACATAATAATATTAAAATTATAGATACTAGTCTTTTCGATGTGGTTATATCCGGTATTTACTATACATTTATCTAATATATTAAATTTTATTGTTAGTAATGTGGACTAGTAACTTGATTGTTATAATTAATGTATGGTTAGGTTGATCTTCACCCCTGTTAACTATCATGATTTATTCTTGTTGAATGTTACGATGGGCTAACTGACCTGATCTCAAGCTCATCTTATCCTGTGCTAGTAAATCGTTAGCACAAAGCGACAGGAACACAATTACATTATCATTAATTAAAAAATAATATAAACCAGCTTTTTAAAATGGAAGGGATTAATACTAACGGGCGCAGTACTTCCGTGGACAGTGGTGTCGGATTTATCGCTTGTCTCCGGGATGGCAATCAATTCGCTCTCAGAAGATTCTTGTTCTAGGCTCCATTGTTGGTATCTGCAAAAATAATTTTCTTAAACCAACTCCTGAAGATTCTTAATAACATCTTAATTCTTAGGAATGTTAACACATACGGGAGATGATGATGTTGATCTGTGATGTTCGTGTACATTAGATGTATCCTGGATGTTTTTCATCCTAATTAAAGTGAACAGTATATATATATAACATACTATATATTAAGTGACAAAAAAAGATCTTTAAAACTACATATCAATATAAATTTTTGAATCAAAGCAAGTAAAAAATAATGAAATAAGTAAATATAAGTAACTTAACTAAATTAGGTTAATATACAAATTAGCTGTTAAGTAGCATAACGATTATTTTGGGAACTAAGATCTTTTTTACATAGTATAAAATGACATCGGCTGTCTGTACACTTATGTCTTTTAAACTACTCAAAGGATTTTAATGCATATTTTAGCAATAGATAATTATTTAATTAATCGACGACCTCGGTGGTCTAGCGGTCTATCACACCGCTTTACGACTGATGATCGCGGGTTCTATTCCTCGCACGGCACAAACATTTGTATTCATGAGTATGATTGTTTGTATCGGTCTGGGTGTTTTCTATGTATAATATGTATGTATTTAAAAAAAAACTATGTATATATCTCAGTTATCTAGTACCCATAACATAAGCTTTAGCTAGCTTAACATGGGTCTAGATGGCGCTGTGTGAAATGTCTTGAGATTATTATTATAATTAGACGCATAATACAATACACCCCGAGTGTGGGTGGGTGGTGGGTGGTCTAGCATATGAATAAAGGAGCGTTGTATCGTTACTTGTGCGGCGCGGGCTCCTCCCAGTGCGTGTGCATGTGCGCGGGCGACTTGTGCAGCTTGCCCTTCCCGGCCAGCGGGCTGCCGGCCGCGCCCGCACACCCGCACCCGCTCCCGCCCCCGCACCCGCACCCGCTCCCGCCGGCGCCCGTGGCCGCGACCGCAGCCGACGCCGCGCCCGCGCCCGCCGCCGCCGCGCACCCGGACAGCGGGTCGTGTTCCATTTTCAAAGACGGCTGGCTTAAATCTGTAATGTATAAGAACTTAGTACGACTACGGTCTAGTGTCCGAGAGTAAAATATAAATAAAAGTATAAATGAAAGTAGAAAATGCCATTAGGTGTTAAGTCCGCCATATGTACTCTTTGCTTGTGTATGACGTGCATTAAAGTTATTGAAATGAAATGAAAAAATGAAAATATGTGACCGTTATTGTTAACCTAATTTTATTGTTATTTCATATGTATGTTAGTCTATAATGTATTAATAATGTTTGTCAAATCTTAGATTACACTATCATACATATAATTTACTTTTCTCTAGAGACTACAAGATGTGATTTTTCAAGTAAGGTATATTAAAGAAGTTATAAGTATTAAGGTTTCTTAAGCGTCAACAACGCACATGTGACAACCCTGATGTCTCAGGCGTCCATAGGCTGCGGCAAGCGTTTACCATTAGTTGTCCTTGTTTACAAGCACTTTTGAATAGTAATATTTTTATTCTACCACTCATTTGAAACGCAGATTCATCACAAGAAAAATAAGCATAAAACTTGTATGTCGCTTTTTTGAATAGATATTTGCAGTAAGTTACCCCTGGCACGCGCAGTGTGAGGAAGCGGGTGCGGCATGACGAGCATGGGCGGGATTCGCTTGCAGTGGTGGTACTGCGCCTCCACGGAGTTCAGCACCACGCGCACCAGCGCCTGCACCTGCGCGCATATGGCGCCGCTCCCGTAGTGGTACTACGCACGAATGGCTATTATTTTACAACCACTTTAAATACCTTCCCAAATGCTTCATATAGTACAGATATTGTTGTAAGTGACAGACTATGTGATTCCACATTGATATTATAATAAAGTACTTCTGTTAATTTATTTGGTGCCCTTTTACAAAATCAAAACAAACCCGGATTGGTTTGATTAGGATCACGCTTGATAAAAATTTATTACTATTGGCTCAATAAGCAATTTTATCGCTTAAAACAATGTTAATTAATTTTAGTACAGAGATTGGACCCTGAGGTCAGAGATAAGTTATTTTTTGGCGTAAAATAAAGGTTGAATAGATAGGCAATGTAATCAAACATTTCTCGAACAAAATACATATAAATTATCATGAAATATAAAAAAAAAACAGATAACAAGTATACAAAAACATATTAGTCGTATCCAGATACGCAGAAGTTGCCAGAATCGTGCGGCGTGCGGCACCTTGTACAGTAGCACGAGCAGCGCCATCAGCCAGTGGCGGCGCACGTGCGCGAGCAGCGCCATCCAGCGTACAGTAGCACGAGCAGCGCCATCAGCCAGTGGCGGCGCACGTGCCGGCGCCCACCTTGTACAGTAGCACGAGCAGCGCCAACAGCCAGTGGCGGCGCACGTGCGGCACCAGCGGCGCCAGCGTGGCGGCGCCCACCCCCACCTTGTACAGTAGCACGAGCAGCGCCATCAGCCAGTGGCGGCGCACGTGCGGCTCCAGCGGCGCCAGCGTGGCGGCGCCAGCGGCGCCAGCGTGGCGGGGCGCCCACCCCCACCTTGTACAGTAGCACGAGCAGCGCCATCAGCCAGTGGCGGCGCACGTGCGGCTCCAGCGGCGCCAGCGTGGCGGCGCCCACCCCCACCTTGTACAGTAGCACGAGCAGCGCCATCAGCCAGTGGCGGCGCACGTGCGGCTCCAGCGGCGCCAGCGTGGCGGCGCCCACCCCCACCTTGTACAGTAGCACGAGCAGCGCCATCAGCCAGTGGCGGCGCACGTGCGGCTCCAGCGGCGCCAGCGTGGCGGCGCCCACCCCCACCTTGTACAGTAGCACGAGCAGCGCCATCAGCCAGTGGCGGCGCACGTGGCGGCGCCAGCGTGCGGCGTGGCCACCCCCACCTCCAGCGCACGAGCAGCCAGCGTGGCGGCGCCCACCCCGTGGCGGCGCCCACCTTGTACAGTAGCACGAGCAGCGCCAGCAGCGCCATGCGCCAGCGTGGCGGCGCCCACCCCCACCTTGTACAGTAGCACGAGCAGCGCCATCAGCCAGTGGCGGCGCACGTGCGGCTCCAGCGGCGCCAGCGTGGCGGCGCCCACCCCCGCGGCCCCCGCGCCGCCGCCGCCCGCGGTGGCCGCTGCCCCCGCTCCGCCGCCGCAGCAGTACTGCACAAAATGCACTCATGTTAAATTCCTAGTGAATTTACCACGATGTGCTAACTGACCTGACCTCATGCTCATCTTATCATACTCCACTGATGCACCGCCAGCGTAAACTGTTAGCGCAAAGTGGAACACCATACCATTGTCGACCATAAAAAAAAAACGCACCCATATACACTTTGTACAGAGTCACCATCGTGAATACCTCTGTCTCGTCTTTTCCCGCTGCCGTGCACCACGCTTTCTAAGCTGTATTTCGGATTAAAAGCAGGACATCTGTTATGAATGACGACGTATGCGGATGCCACAAAAAAGATATGACGCGATATCCATACGTATGTCGTATATAACCGACGTTTGCTACTTTCTAATATGAGAGTCCTCTGCTTATTTACCTTCAATTATATATCAGAACTACTAATTACTTCATGTAATCTAAAAAACCTGCTTACAAATTTACTACATGTTTCTTGTCCCTTAAATATAGAAGCACTTTAAAACAAACAGCGACTTACCTGAAGTAACAGCAAAGTAGGTTCAGCTATACTAGCACCCATCAAATGATTCTGATCCAACACTTGCGGCAAATTAGCCATGAACGCATTAAATATTGATGATTGCCTGTAATGAAATACGATACATGTATAAAGATACACTAAATTGAAACTGTCCAAACATAGATAGATGCTGAGGATCATCACATACCGATTATATAACGTTAATAATAATAACACACCTGGATGGCGTATCAGGTTAGAAGACTGATATAAATTCTTACATTTTTTTATATACATGCATAATATACGTAGAAATACCCAGACCGACACAATCATACCCATGTATGCAAATGTTTATACAGTGCGTGAAAATGAAACAGCGATCATCAAAAGTAAAGCGGTGTGCTAATCCACTAGACCACCGAGGTCGTACGACGTTGTCGCTTATGCTTATTGCTTATTCTTACCTCAAAGTATAGGGTGACAAATGGAAATATTTTTCGACGCAGTTGTATCCTAACAACAAGAACAAGTGCTTCAACACCAACTCTTGACTTTTCAATGAGGATTTATCTTCTGTGGGGTGAGCTTGGTCTGACCTAAGTGAAATTAATGGCATCATCTGTAATTATCTCTATACAGTCTCTACATACATATAATAAAGTTGTAAACTCGTGACCTGGCATGACTTTATTTTATTTTTTGTGAGTTAAGTTAAGGTTTTACGTAAATAAGGCGAAAATTCAATTCAATTATTTATTGTTGTTATTTTATTCTCATTAATGTATGTAGATCTATAAATGTACAAGCGTACAAAGTCCGGGGCAGTACGAGAATACAAAATATGCTGTGGGTAGAACGCCATTGAATATTGTACGGTTTTATTACACTGCACATATAATTTAACTAGCTTTTGCTCGCGGCTTCGCTCGCGTTAATTTATCCCTTTAGGGGTAAAATTTATCAAAATCCTTGCTTAATCCTTATCGGATGCCTACGTCATAGTAGCTTTATGCAAGCAAAGTCTCAGCCCGATCGGTTTAAAATTGACGAAGTGTCATATAAACTTTCATCCCCTATTTTATCCCCTTGAGGGTAGAATTAATCAAAATCCTTTCTTAGTGGATACCTACGTCATAACATCTACCTGTATGCCAAATTTCAGCCTGACCCGACCAGTGGTTTGGGCTGTGCGTTGATAGATCACTATGTCAGTCACCTTTGAGTTATATATATTTAGATATACTAATAATTAAAAAATCAAGGTTTACGCAGTCAATTATGAACTTTATTTGTATGGTAATTAATGGTAAAATGAGCAATGGTAATGGTAGATGAGCACACGTTGTATTTTTGGTGACCAAACGTGAACTAATTTTCGTATACTGATATAACAAAATGAATCTTAAACATTGAACTAAAACACTAACCTTGATAAGAACTGCATTAGAAGAAACACCAACAAATTTGTGGTTTCCCGGTCAGCTTCTTCAAGATCTACAGCTTTCGGTAGCACTGTAGTTAGCGTCTCTTCAGTCGAACGCCCCGACAGGGAATGAAATCCGTCTATTGAAAAAATACGCTATATTTATTTTACTTTCATTCGAAAACGTATTTAATAAACTTTATATCGTACATTTTCCTCACACTTGACTCTAAATAAATTCAACCATAAAACTGTTGCTGTCGTTGTTTTATTTTTTAAATCAGCGCTCTGCCTACTAGGTGGCGCTGCACGAAGGATAGTTCGAAATTTGAAAAACTAAAATAGCAAATAGTGCTGTTATGGAATATATATATATATATACATATACTTATAACGCACGCGTCTTTTATGTGGTGTAGAGCTATTCTGTAAGCATCGCTTACAAATTCGAAATATGAAATAATGAAGTTTGAAATAATTATTATTGATTATTTAATTGAATCAGTCAACTTTATATTTACAAATGAATAGGAGTCCCTTGAGTGAAGCGATGAGTGAAATGAGTTGATAAAACGCTTACAGAGTACCAATGCTGATTTATATATCGAAAACCGATGAAATTAGATTCACTGTACAAGCGTGTTGAAAAATATATAAAATGTAGCGTGGTGTCTGACCGTGCGAGTTGGCCTGCCTGGGCTGCCCGAGCGGCTGCTGCGCGGCCAGCAGCTGTCCCAGACCGAACCGGGACGTCTTCCGCTTCAGCAGCGGCGCAGAGTACTGTCGCGAGTACACCTTCTCGCGGTCTGCACACACAGCACCAAAACACCAGTTATAACTAACAATATACATATAACATCTAGAGGGTTATGTTTCTCGGAGACTTGTTTTGGGGAAAGGATGGATGCCCCATTACGTATAATTGCTAGTAATTACCTACATAAGACCAAGAAACCGGCGATATATGGCGGGCGCGGAGATGGTCCGCTTGTAGGGCGCGCGGGGGGCGGGGGTCACGTACCGAGGCGCGGGACGGCGGGCGGCGGCGGCAGCGTGGCGGGCGCGGAGATGGTCCGCTTGTAGGGCGCGCGGGGGCGGCGGGGGCGGGGGGAGATGGTCACGGCGGGGGCGGGGCGCGGGGCGCGGGCGGGTCGGCGGGCGGCGGCGGCAGCGTGGCGGGCGCGGAGATGGTCCGCTTGTAGGGCGCGCGGGGGGCGGGGGGCGGGGGTCACGTACCGAGGCGCGGGACGGCGGGCGGCGGCGGCAGCGTGGCGGGCGCGGAGATGGTCCGCTTGTAGGGCGCGCGGGGGGCGGGGGGCGGGGGTCACGTACCGAGGCGCGGGTCGGCGGGCGGCGGCGGCAGCGTGGCGGGCGCGGAGATGGTCCGCTTGTAGGGCGCGCGGGGGGCGGGGGGCGGGGGTCACGTACCGAGGCGCGGGACGGCGGGCGGCGGCGGCAGCGTGGCGGGCGCGGAGATGGTCCGCTTGTAGGGCGCGCGGGGGGCGGGGGGCGGGGGTCACGTACCGAGGCGCGGGACGGCGGGCGGCGGCGGCAGCGTGGCGGGCGCGGAGATGGTCCGCTTGTAGGGCGCGCGGGGGGCGGGGGGCGGGGGTCACGTACCGAGGCGCGGGTCGGCGGGCGGCGGCGGCAGCGTGGCGGGCGCGGAGATGGTCCGCTTGTAGGGCGCGCGGGGGGCGGGGGGCGGGGGTCACGTACCGAGGCGCGGGACGGCGGGCGGCGGCGGCAGCGTGGCGGGCGCGGAGATGGTCCGCTTGTAGGGCGCGCGGGGGGCGGGGGGCGGGGGTCACGTACCGAGGCGCGGGTCGGCGGGCGGCGGCGGCAGCGTGGCGGGCGCGGAGATGGTCCGCTTGTAGGGCGCGCGGGGGGCGGGGGGCGGGGGTCACGTACCGAGGCGCGGGTCGGCGGGCGGCGGCGGCAGCGTGGCGGGCGCGGAGATGGTCCGCTTGTAGGGCCACTTGGTCCCGAAGGAGGCGCTGAGTGAGTGCGCGGCGCCGGCCTGCAGCGCCGAGTGCGCGCGCCGCACCTTCGACACGAACCACTCCGAGCTCGTCTCGCTGCTCACCAACTCTACACGAGCCATTTTATTAGAATAATGATCCAATCTGTCGGCCTACTCGATAGTAATCGTTACCTATATACATACACTTGCGAAATATAGTTTGTTCGCTCCCGAGTCAAGTCCGAGAAAGGTAGTAGGACATATTAACTTCTAGAGTTGAGAGAATCACATAGTAAGCACTAGGTCTAACGCATGAACACATACTAGCGTAGTCTGTACATATACAACGTACGTAGTATATACAAATGAAAATACGATATCAAGAAAAACTCACCTCTCAAGTTAGAGAAGTCGACAGTTTTGTTAGAATTGATCTGCGCCTCGAGCAACAGCGCTTCGAATCGGTTGAGGAAGAACTCCCAATTGAGTATGCGGCGATCACTGAGAGTGTTGTGCAGCTGGTAGATAGACTGCAGCACCATCGGCCGGTCCACGATCACCAAATCGAATTGCGTCTCCAAACAGTACAGCAGCAACTGTAATTTTTATAATATAATAAACCTGTTATTTCTTTTTGTCAAGTACATCGCCTTAATAACGGTGACTAAGTTCAAGGAGGCGCGTCCGGAATGGTGCGACTCCCCCGCGGTGCGCGGAAGCGGAGACTGGGACTACGAAGGGTTCCCCCACGCGTTGAGGGCCCGCCGCTGGGGTCGCGGTCCATTGCGACCTCGTTCCCGCGACCCCGGCGACGAGGAGAAATGCCGTGGGGTTTTTAGTGAGTAGGAGTCTCACAGTACTCAACCATCCAACCTCTGAGACGGCCGGGTCTCCATGAGCGATTTTACCCATGTTAAAAAAAAATAAAAAAAAGGATCTTACATCGATAGCATTATCATGTATAGTGCCAATGTAGAGTGTCGCCCGTTGTGCGACGTACACGTTAATATCATCCATGCTGGAGATGAGGTAGCAGAACGCAGTCGCGAGTGCCGTCTGCAGCGGGAGGCTCGTCTTTACTGGTGATCCGTCCATGAATCTGGATTGACATAGCCGGGTTCAAATATCGATCCGGATTGCGTATTATTTAGGAAATGTCAGTAATTATGGACCGAAGTGAAAATGAAATATTTTCTCTTCATAAATCATACAATTAAGTGAGAAATCAACTGAAATGATTCCTTTTTCCATATTTTCATGATAACGAATATACGAATAGGTGACATAGCAGTACCAACGCAAATGCTTCTTTACAAAGTCTACTTCGCATTAAGATAAATAGATTTAGGGACAGCAAACAATACAGAAGCAGATTCGCGCTTGAAACAGCATACGTGTAAAGTACACGTATGCTGTTTCAAGCGCGAATCTGCTTCCACGCGGAACAGAATGAGCATATAAATGTAAACAAAGAGAACGAGAATTCCCCCGTCCTTTAGCGGCTTTTTGTAATAGTTAATTATCATTGCAAAATAGCGGACATCTGACTATGGAACAAAGTGATATTATATATTTATTGATAAATTATAAATCTTACATGAGTCTTTTAAAAACAAAATCTGTGGGATAAAAATATAATTTTAAAAGAAAATGTAATGACACGAAACATACGCGCAATCGCGTGCGAAATTTACGTCGTTATTTGTGAATGATTGCGTACGCTAAATAATATATATATATTTTTTCTCTCAAGTGCGCGCTAATAATTGCATTTAATAATGTCTAGTAAGATAAATTCAATATTGATTGCGTATCTAAACTGTGAAAAAACGCGTCGTCAGTTTATAATCATCAGTAATATACATCGTCTCGACCAGCAACATCTTATTATTCACCCGCAACAACACGAAACATACGCGCAATCGCGTGCGAAAGAGTGAATGTAGCTCTCGAATGAATAATAGACGTTTCGAATGTGAGTGTATATTGTGTAGTGTGGAGTGGTACTGGCCTGATGACGATGGTGACCCGCTCGACGGCGGTGAACCGCACGCGGTGGTCGTGGTGGTGGAACTGGTCGCGCACCAGGTTGCAGAACACGTCGGCCCCGCCCGCCAGCGTCACGCAGTGCAGCAGCACCGGCACCGCCACCGAGCAGATGTGGGAGTGGCACGCGTTGCACACGTTCCACAGGCTGACGCAGGCGACGAATACATACATATACCATTATACGATACTTCATTTGGATACTACGGGACACAGTTACCTGGATACATCGATATAATAATTGCAATTAATTATGACTGCTATATCTAAACTGTGTCGTCCCACCTTACATTTTACTAGTTTTATTACTCCATATACCACGGTAAAAACGGATACTATATTACTTACTTATCAATGAGAAGGTTCTCCTGGCACCATATGAGGAAACCCCTATGCTCGGCGAGAGCATCCGCGTTCAGCACCAACACCTGAAGGCACTGCAGCAGGTGGTACAACACGTCGGGACGGGAGGTACTTTTCAATTCCTGTTACCAGTTTTTTTTCATTATGTTTAACAAACAGTAAGACAAATATAACAAATATTATAAACGCGGCTTACGAAGGTAGCTTAGCGGCTAAATTAGGTGAGTTAGATGTAATGTAATGTAATGTGTCTAATTATCGTCTCTAAGACACAAACCACTGCTCTTTTTCACCGGTTACAGGTTAATGTCCGCATGACGCCAGCAGTGTGCGCTAGAGACAACATAGTGCTTCCTTCTCTTTCTCACATATATACTCAGTAAATATGTTATTTGTCTATTTTCAATATCTGAATCGATGAGACATCTGACCTGTAATAATTGGTGGATGTACTGCAACTCTTGTGGCAACTCGTCGATGCAGAAATGGAACTTGCCAGCCGATGTCGGCCAGAAATTGGTCATATCGTCATCAACCGACTCCCCCATAGCTTCGTTATCACCGAGCAGATTTGGTGTCGAAACCTGTCATAAAAAAATATATCTATATTACTCAATATTAGAAAGGTGTGAAAGCTGTGAAAAATTCATTCCGGGGTCAATAACTCCCGCCTCTTAGGGCACTTCACCCTAAATTTAAATTCACTTTTAAAGTAAAACGAAACTGAACTTGCTGAACCACACATGGAGAAGGAAGCGTTGGGCAGAAGAATATGGAGTCTGTTAGAGGAGGCCTTAGGACAAACTAACGAACCTAGGCAATGAAATAATAACAAACAAAATCAACTTTAACTTTACCATCACCACAAAGGCTATAAATAAAATAAAAATAAAATAAATAAACTAAAATTATACCAACTAAATAATAATAGTAAATAAATAAACTAAACATATATAAATATAAGTAGGCGTGTTGCACTAACGTCTGCTGTGGCGGTGGCGACGTCTGTGTCGGTGAGGGTGACTGTGTGCGCGGTGGCGAGCGGCGGCGCGTCGGGCGGCGGCAGCGACACCGCCATGTCCAGCTGCTCCGTGATCGTCTCCACTGTGGCCGTCATTATCTATCCAACACTCCACTTGTTATATCCATATAATACTCCTTTTTCTCGATCCATAATATACTAAACGATATCATAAAAGTCGTCTGTGATCTTTAATGATGCATCGTTCCAAAAATTGATACCGTGATCGAATTAGTAAACTATATAAAAAATACACGATGGGTCGAAACATAATTAAAATAATATTAAATTATAGATATTTAAATGATAGGGTAAAGATTGTGCCTCGTGAAAGACCTACGTTCAGCAGTGGGCTGATAAAGAAATCAAACGATAAAAATCTCCTATATGGCACTCAAAATGATGGCTGTGTCGCTAAAATGAATTAACTATATAATAATAGAATAATGACTTTTTAAGATATTTCGTAATTTGTAACTCTAGATATCAGACTCAATGAAAGTGGTTTTATTACTTTTCCGTCATTTTTAGGACTACGTGTGTTTTTAATATTTGCACAACTAAAGTCTATTCAAACAACTAAAGGTATTAAAAACATAAAAATCATCAAAGCATCTATTATGTAGTGGTCTTATTTTTTCTTTGGAATGAGTGCATTGGTTTATATTATTGTATATTCAGTGCTAACAGTATAAAAATCTACATTTCTAGTCATTAAACTCTAAAACCTCTTGAGAGTTAATTATTATAAGCTATGTAATTTGTATAATGGACTTCTGATATAAAATTAGATAGAAATACGGAATATAATACTTAAAATTAAATTTTATAAAAAAAATATTAAAATAATTTTATATTGCCCATCATCCATTATACATTTCCAAGCCCCTATAAATTAATATGGTTATATGATTGGCAGAATTTATTCATTAATATTTTATTATGGCAATGAAATGCGACTATTTTTTTTTAATTTAATTATTTATTATAAACAATTATGTATCAACCATTTTAGATGAAACATCTATTTTTATTCAATAAATTTTTCATCTAAATTTCTACTATTGTCTGTTAGACAAGCTTGTTTTAATCGGTTATAACTTTTATACTTTCTCATCATACGAGGAATACTTTATTGCGCGACTTAATGTAGAATAAAGCAGTGAAGTAAAAGCAATATTACACTATCATTTTTTAAAATTCCAATTTGGAGTTTATATGTAATTTAAAAATAGATATAATAATGGATCTTATCCATTCTATTTTCGAAAATGATAGTGTAATAGACATCTAACATATAAACAACTAGCACACAGACACATGAAAAGCCAAGGGTAAGAAAGAGACAGAACGAACATACTTGCGTGTCCCCTGACGATTTAGTCAGTGTGGGGTCCGAACCGACGTCGCTTATTAGTGACAGTTGCATGAAATGAACAAACTATACATCTATTATATAGATAGGAGTATGCTAATGAACGAACAAAATGCTAGGTTAGGAATGGCGGTCCATTGGAAAATGGCGGGAAATATTGACAGGTCTCGACGCTAACAGAATAAAAATTTACTTTTTTTTAATGGATTGGGTTCGTGTATTTTTGCATCAAGTAAATGAAATATAATTTTTAAATATAATAACACATTCTAATTTTAAACGATTCCAACCCAATATGCATTTAATATAAGTACATAGACAATCTAAAAAGTAGTGAAATTTAGAATAAGGCCCGAAACTACGATAGGTCTATACAAAATGAAGTTCGTAATTACATCACATATTTAATTTTGTATTACAACTGCGGTTTTTAATAACGACAATAGATCAATATTTAGTGAGATATTATTTACAAATTTGTCACAATTATACTTCATAGAAGAGAAACATGTGTTTATATATAATTTTATTAGATGAATAACTGTATAAAAAACTGCAGTGTTCATTTTATTTAACACTATAGTATAATTTATAACATTAATAATACCCATTACAATTTATTTACGTATACGAACTACACGAACTTCGCAGATAATTTTTATAACTACATACACATCCATACAAAACGTCATAATATTAACAACTAGTAACATTTTCAAGTATATAACTTCTGTGACGAAGGGTTGTATGAGGGAACATTACTTTTTTAATGAAATCCAATTGAATAAAAAAAAATTTTTGGAAGAAATGTTTTTGTCTATGGTTATGAATTTATTTCTATTAAACATTTTCAATATTTTTAATAAGTATTAGACATAATTTATTTTACTTTTAAATTGGATATTTATTTTTGAATTAACGCTTTAGTTCTGGTTTTAGTCTTCTTTTTCTATTAACGTTCCATATTTTAATTAAAAACTAGACAATAAAAAAAAATAGTACATTATATAGAATAATGCAATTATGCTAATTAAATAGTAGTATAATTGAAAATTAGGTAATATATACAGGTCTCTTCTAATACCAAAAGTCAGAATAAAGTTAACATTTAAATATATATTACTTTTAAATATGCAACTGGTTCTTGAGCATTAAAGAGTAGTTTAACATAATTAAAATAAATGAATATACTTTACATTTAAATCAATTTTAATCACATCAAAATTTAAAAAAAAAATTCTAACTCAATTTACATATATATCTCTGTGACCGAATCCCTAATACAACCCCACAAATGTCTCTACAAAAGCGAAGTACGTCCCCACTACCGGATGGAATTACGAACGGGGCGTATTAAAAAAATGGAAGCGTCTATAGTCGAGACCTGGCAACACCCGGACAACAGCGCATTCAGACGGCACGCGACGACATACATACATGTGGCATATGCACCAGTACGCCTCCTACTGAGCTTTTGTCCACGCCCACGCCCACGCCCACCCCGTGGGCAATCGACATCAGCGCGTCCACGGACGCCGCCGGCGTGCCGCCCGACTTGCTGCGCTCGTCTTCCGATTGGTTCTTCTTTGGTTGCGTCTCCGACCACATGTCTTCCATGGACGGCTGAAAAGAGAACACTATAAAACTATCATCACAACATAAATATGTGGAACAATATAACTTATACTAGATCTTGGCCTATCTAGAACTGCAGGGACTTTTATACTATAATAGAACGTAAATCTAAAGCGACACTAGCAGACTCCTATCAGATGTGGTTGAACAGGGAGAGAAACACGAGAGTGTTGATTAATTATTATTTAATATTTTAATATTTAATAGATCGTAATTCGGCAAAGGCCCTTCCTTTTTCCATCTCTACCACACATGGACCCGACATCCGCACGGTAAATCCATAGAATGTTAAGAAATTCGTCTCTGTTTTGTGAAAATTTACTTAATAATTAGTTATTTCATCAAATATTATTGACACATAATGCATTACAAATAGCAAAGATTAAATGCTATTTGTAATACATACTAATGTCAGTAATATTTGATAAATTAATTGAATATATAATGAAACCGACATGGTACTATAAAATATTTGCTAATAAGGACTCCGCTCAGCATATTGGTACAGCCGACGCTACAGCGCTGATTATACAAAATATTAGAGGATGGGAAGATGTAGTCACACTGGCTAATCTGGCCAGGCTGGCTAGTGTGACTAGTATGACTAGGAGGCTAGTGTGAATAATGTGACTAGTGTTGATAGTATAGCTCGTGTGACCACTAGTGGTTACTAGTGTGGATAGTGTCACTAGTCATACACTAGTGTTGCTAGTGTGCTAATGTGACTAGTATGGAGCTTAGTGTGGGTAGTGTGTGTAGTGTGGGTAGTGTTGGTAGTGCGGGTAGTGCGGTGTACCTCCGGAGGCTTGGGCCTGTCGGGCACGAGCGCGCGCACGAGCAGCACGGCCAGCTGGTGCCACAGCGCCGCCGCCTCGCAGTACGAGCACGCGCCCTCCGACACGCACACCGCTGCCGGCACCACAACATCCACGATACTACGCTTATTTCATTTATAATATATCGACTTATAGCTAGTAACCACCACGTTTATATATTAAAACTACCTATAGATCGTTGGTTCAAATCCGGCCTGAAGGATCGATTTGTTAAAGTCTTTACTAATAAAGAATGAGAAATACACGTAATACTACGGACTGTATAACTGTTATATTGAATGCGTGATGTTGCAAAATTTAAACCATTATAGAATAATATAAATGAATACGAGTGCGATATCGTCTCTATCTATTGCTAAAAACTGCATCAAAATATGTAGCATAGTTTAAAAGATCTAAGCTAACACACAGCGGAAGCAGAAGATGTTATTTTATACTATGTAAAGATAACTTTGTTAAACTAAATACATGAAAATTGTTACCCTTCGACCAGACTCTATAATATTAGCAAAAAATGAACGCAGTCAAATAAATTCCTACAAACCATGTTCAACAGTGTTCAATTGGTTGGACTTAAGCATCAATCGTAAAAGCTTAGTCGCTTCACTGCTCACGTTCTGGCTATTGATACGTCGTTGCTGCAGCTCCATCTAGAAGAACAGCAATGTAATTATTTCTTTACATAACACAATTAACATTTTTTTGTCTGTTACAAGCAATTAGACCATAATATTAATAATACTGACATTGGACAATCCATACCGCGCTATCTAGTACCAAAGGTAGTAGAGGAGACGACACTAAACTTCCTATGTGGTTATAGCCCCCCACTCATGCATAAACGGAGTAGATGAAAATCATCTATCCTAAGAAGGACATTCTTGGGAACCATGATTTTTATCTCCTAAGTAACTCTGAAAAAGGGCGAGAACAATAGATCTATGTCGGTCGCAGTGCTACAGGTCCAAGCACCTCACAATAGCCCAAATCCCTGAATATTTTTATTAACTTGTACTAGACAACTGATATAAATACTTAAATAATGTTATTATAAAATAGATTTAAATATTAATAAAGACTATCTGACAGAATGATCTATTTTTCATCTGTTAAGTTGTCCAGCCCTAACATTTTATTTTTTGGACAATTATTTTTTCTTTTTTTTTATAATGTGGCACTAAAAAATACATACAATCCTTTCAACCTTCTATCATCAATTCCCATTTTTTAATACCGATTTTAATTTATATGGCAAAACAACGTTTGCGGGGGTCAGCTAGTATTTTTGTTATTCTTCTATTGCGCCTTTAAATACCACCATTATTGGCTATACCGACCCCAGTGCCCTACACACAGTTCTACACACACATATCAAGGAAGAAGGTTAAGTTGATAATGTATATCTATAACAGCACTTAAAATGTACCAACACATTTACCTGTTTTAATAGTATGTCAAGCATTAGGATACAACAGGTGAGGTTCTGTGGCTTCATCTGTTCATCCTTCTCCTTCTTCTCTTTTTCAGTGGCAGTTGGAGAACTTTTTGGTTCTTTCGATTTATCTTAAATTTAAATAATAAATTTAATCAATTATTTTATTAATTTCTTTTAATGTTTACATTGTAATTGGCGTTTAATTCTTATTATAATACTAAATAATTTAGAGTATAGATTACCCGATGGTGGTTTGAATATCTTCTCTGGCATGTTGACAACACAATGGCTGAACAGATCGAAAAGCTGATTCAGCGGGATTTTCACATCCAACATTGATATCGTCTGTAAAAATTAAATTAACTTTTTTTAAATATCCAGCTTGATTTCAACTGCGGTAATTCCTAATAAAGTCTTTATGATTAAAATTTAGATACTTTACATACACACCTACTATCTGTACTCATACATTCACATAGTCAAATTATATTTTAAATGGAGGGCATAAACTTATTTTTACCTCGGCCAATCATGGCTCCACAACAGCAGTAGGGAATAGGCGTTAATAAATAATAAAAGAGCTTAATAAATAGAAAGGAGCTTAAACAATACACTTGTAGAAAGGTATGATACCTGAAACCACTCGAGCACGGGCAGCACGGTGTGCGGCGTGGGTGCGGAGGACACCCTGTGCGCGGCGAACTTATACAGGTTGCGCTCGTCCACGCCCACCATGCTACCGTCCGGCTCCAGGATCTTGGCCAGCGGGACCTTCAGCTCCATCAGCTCCTGTCGCCATAATGGTCTTAATCGAGGCATCAGATTCAGCGATTTGTCGAAGAAACTGAAGTACTGATTTTACGCAAGGGAGACTTTCTAGAAAGTCATCTTCATATATCTGATATAAGAGTAAAATATATATGTTACAAAAGATACAAAATATTAAAAATATCAGTCAAGTATATATTTGCCTGAAATATTTAATTTTTTTTTTCACTTACTGTGTGTTATTAGTCAGTACATAATATAGTAACAATAGCGGTTCATTTCGAAGAAATACTAAATTACTGATTTGAGATTTTCTACAAAGTTATGTCCATGTATTTGATATGAGAGTAACAAATATTGTTGACTGATATTTTTTTCACTTACACTATAATAGCTATTAATTATCAATACATGGTATAATATCAATATATTTAGGTCTAAATTTCCGATTATGACAGCGCTCTCTATAATACAACTATTACAGAACGCAAGTGCCCCGGCAGATGGCACTGTACGGAGTCCGGGCGACTAATAGAAAAGTTGTCTCAGTTTACTGCGAGAAGCGGTCGAGGCAACATCTGCCTGGGAACTATAGGCGTTCAGTGACTTTAGTGTTAGAATAGTATTATGTCTTATTGGTTATAATTGATTATTGATGTTTTGAATTATATTTCTACGGTCTATTATGTGATATCTTCAGCGTTATTCTCAAATATATATGTGTGTGTATGTACACTAGCTGTCCCAGCAAACATTGTTTTACTATATAAATTACTAATATGGCTATTAAAAATAGGGGTTAGTGGAAGAAGGGTCAAAATTTAGGGTTGTATGTATTTTTGAATGCACCCAGGCAGTGTCACGGAATACAGTAAGTTTTATTATAAAATTATGATTATTTGTGAACAAATTTATTATGATTTCATTATACAATAAACTTACTTTTTCAGGCACATCTGTGCATATGGCCTCCATCCAAGCGGGCATGATGTAGTCCCAAATGGACTGAGTGATTATACCGTAAGGTATCAAACAATATAATCTGCAACAAAATTAAATAATACTGTTTATGATTAGAATTTACTTTTTGTACTAAAATTACATTAAGCACCATCTAGTTCCAAGATAAGCAGAGCTTGTGTTATGGGTACTTGACAACTGATATAAATATATAGGTACATAATTTTTTTTGTAAACACATACATAATATACATAGAAAATACCCAGTCATAGTCATGAATAGAAATGTTTGCACCATGCGGGGAATCCAACCCGCGACCATCGCAAGTAAGGCGGTGTTTTAATCTGTTAGACCTCCAAAGACGTTAATATTATGTAGAATATTTACATATTTTTCTAAAGCTTCTACAAAAAGTAATTCCAAAGATATCACAAGTAATGGATTCAGAGAAAAATTCTATAAGCCAATGTCCTTAAAAGCGATACATTTCGATTTTCTAAAAAAGAACTCTTTTTTACCTGTTAAGGCCGTCCTTGAGGTGGTGCGCCTTAGAGGCGAGGTTGTCCCAGTGGCCGGCCTGCCTGGTGTAGTGCGGCGGGTGCGGCAACAGGCACGACACCAGCACCGACCGATGCGACTCTGCAATCGCTCGCACCCACCCACACACGTGCTCCGATTTCAGCTTCTCCACACTATTAGCCGTATCGCCTAAAGTATATCAATTTTATTTAAGATCCATTCATTCAGTCACTTAGTTATAAAAAGGCCACAAACAGACAAGACGTAATTTTGTATTTGTAATATTAGTGACCCCTCCCCGCTTCGCACGGATGCATTACAAATTTTTGAATTTATTAATTTTGGATTATTTATTCAAGTTCATTTTAAACCATCTAAAATGATACTTTATGTAAAAAAAATTGTTACAGACTTTCCTTCGAGAATTTTTATCTGTATGAATTTGTTCAGTATTCTTTATTAATTCTTTTTAGGTTCTTAAAAGCGATTTAATTATCGTTTATTAACACAAATGCCATGTTCGTATATACCTGTGTATGAGAAGGAAGTGACATGAAACCAGTGGAACAATACGGAGAGCAGTCGACCGAGTACTTCGTCTGGAGTATCAGGGTTCGGGGTACATAGGCCGACCATCAACCATACGCCGTATCTATAAATTAATACATTACTTAATAAATATATGTGGCGATTCACTCAGAGGACAATGGAGAGGGATATGCTCGGATCGCAGAAGAACCAGAGTAACCGACATAGCCTGAAGAGTTGCGAAACTGAAGGGGCAATGGGCAGGGCACAAAGCTCGTAGGACAGATGGCCGTTGGGGCAATAAAGTCCTCGAGTGGCGACCAGGGATCGGAAGACGCAGCGTGGGAAGGCCTCGTGCATAGCCACAACCTGGACCCATGGGGGGGGGGAAGGGGATTGTTAGTAATGTGGACTGTTAACACCATTGCTGGTAATGTACCATATCAGGTTGACCTCCACGCAGTTCTCCCTGGAAACCATTATGATAAATTCTTGGTGAATATGTCACGATAGGCTCACTGACCTGACCTCATGCTCATCTTATCATCCTCCACTGGTGCCCCGCCAGTGTAAACCGTTAGTGCGGGTGCACCATTCCATTATCATTCATAAAAAAAAACCTGGACCCATTCTCTTCACCTCCGTCTTCGTCGCTATTATCATAATATATAAATAATAGCTAAACATTTACTTTTACCTCTTTGACGGTGCAGTATTTTAGATTAGATAATTTGTTTATTTTATTGTAAATAAATGGAATCATACAGAGAGGGAAGCAATTAGAGACTGCGAACAGGGATGAAACATATTACGCCGACCCCAAATAAATGGGATAAGGAAGAAGCAGATGATGATGATGATACAGAGAGGGAAGCTATTATATAAAGAACTGTAGATATATAGAATATTTCAATTTCATGTCTATGCCTATTAGGCAAAGCTTGTTACCTGCCGAGTAGTTGTCTGTCTTCAATTGAAATAGGGTCCGGCAGGTTAACTGTGAGCGGCGGCTTTAGGTGTTCTGTCGAACTGTCCGGATCCTCCATATTTATTGGCTTCGCTTCCTTTAGCAAACTGTCAATAAGGAATACATAATAATAATAAACTCAGGACAATTCACACAGCGCCATCTAGTCCCAAGTTAAGCTAGCTAAAACTTGTTTTATGGGTACTAGATAACTGATACAAATAAATAGATATTTTTTATTTCGTAAATACAATATTATACAAAGAAAAGACCGAGACCGATACAAATAATCATACTTGGTTGGTGTTGACGGTAACAGTATTGGATTTACCTGATGATGGCCTCTACGAGGTTGGTCTGCATGTCGGAGTCCATCTGCCAGGCGGGCGGCAGCCGCGTGTGCACCACGTGGTCGCCGCCTCGCCGGCTGTTGTGGCGGTTGCCGTGACACTGCTGACAGTACCTGTAATGGTCAAATGAAACATATATATAACCAAATACAGATAAATACTATTTATATGTATAATAATTAGTATAAATCACGAGATCTTACCACATTTTAAATTTATTGATATCCCAGCCTACATATCCAAAAGAACTGCCAAGAAACTTAACATTCGTTCTCTAGATGTACATAGTCATTTATTTATATATAAATAAAACAAAGTTGGGTTAGCCACATTATTTATTTAATATTAGAGAAACAGCAAATTATGTAAACTATTTTTCTTATACTATTATAGAAGGCTACGTTATTGGTGAGAAAGGTAGGCTTTATTATAGTAATATAGCTAATACATCGGAATAACAGATAGGCTATAAATACCAAGCCTGTGAAACCGCTGGCTCAGCTAGTATTACATAACTGTACCCATATAAAGTCGAAGCTTAAAATAAAATTACCTGATTGGATGGTTTCCGTTGTAACTGGCGCATTCATTTGAAAAACAAATGGAATACGCTGCTTTATCTGTCGAGCGACAATTCTGTAACATAATATTTGTTTTTGTTATTTATATTGATCCTTGTTCCTAAGTATTAAAGTGTAATATCCAATGTCTTTTATTGTTTGTAACCATTCGTCACTCGTTTCATATTTCAAATTTACTGTATAAAATATTATCTTTTTTGCAATAGTGTTTGCACATGTCATAGATAAATAGAAAGTCTAATCCGTGTCCTCATTTACACTTACCTTATTCTCGCAAACCATAGACACTTGCTGCTGTGGATGCAGTATGTCAAAGAACCGTTGATTTGGATGCTCCCTGTATAAATAAAATACTCATCGTTATGTAATAAAACATTAAAATAGAACTATTAATTAAAATATTCAGTTAAAGTTCTTTTTAGCTAAGACAAACAAGCTGACACATCACTTGTTTTTAAGTTGTTTAGTGGCCTCGGTAGTCTAGCAGTTTAGCACTAAGATTTACTTCCGTTCGACGTGACAAAATCTGCAGATTCTTGTTATGAACAGGCCTAGGTTTGCCATATGTTTGCAGTGTCCTGTGAGAGCCCTAGTCATGACGCAGAAGTATGTTGTTTTTACTCAATAGCAATAGTCTATTGGAGTAGTTGTTCAAGTAGCCCGATATTAGGAGTTTTGAATGTACCAATCCTGGCATTTCTGTCAGTGATTGTATAGTTAAGAACATGACTATATGTATATATAGATGACCTGTGAATCTCATTAGCGCATTCAATGCAAAGATATAGCGGTGGCGGACTGTCGGAGGCGAAGGTGACGCTGATGCAGTGGTCGTAGCACACCTTCGCAGCCTCAGCAGACCCCGCGTTTGGGCACATGTCTCGCTGGCACAGGAACGGGACCAAGTCGTCTGGAATCCCAACATACTATGTTATAAATAGGAGTTATAGAAAGAGAAAAGTAAAAACAATATCTTATACATCTATATTAAAGTATGATTAAGAAAAATTTAACAACGTTTTATTTATTTTTATTGAATTCCTGATATTTCGGCTGTTTCAACTGTCACGGGTAAACTGACTAATGATTGCGTAAAATTTATAACAGTATATCTATAGTAATATAGAGGAATCTATATATTTTTGTATGTTAGTTTGTAATACATTTTAGCATACCCAAATTTCTTGCTCTTTCTTCTTGTGATAGGTCTGCGTTCGTAAATAAGTTCGATAAGTCGTACATATATACGTAAATATACGGTACATTCAAACGCTTTTATTATTATTTAAATAAACTTATTATTTAAATAAATATTATTTCCATTTTTTAAATTTTAACTTATATATTACCATAGATTAACAAGGGTGATATTTAAGAAAAAGTTGAGTATACTACGGACATTGCAAGCGTGAGTAGCCAGAGGGCTGATATGTAGAGTAAGTTAACCTTATAATATTACTCTACATATCACCCTTATATATAGTGATATTATAAAAAGAAAAGATTTTGTCTGTTTATGAAAGAAAAATTCAAAGCTAGATTAACAGTGACTATTCTAAAGTTTATTTCACGAAGATATGTCTAGTCTAATAATAGTCCAGTATTTCAATTTACTAATATAAAATATTAAGTAGTTTAAAATTAAAAGGCTAGTAAACCAAGAGGTATCCTGTCTTCTTTAAGAGTAAAGAAGCTACATTAGCATGACTATAGCTACATAATAATATAGTAATGAACTCTACGCAGTTAGCCCAAAGAATACTGGCTGTACTCTACGCGGAAGTACAGGATACAGCTACTTCGAATACAGAAATAAGAGCATAATTACTACAGGCCATCCACAAATTAGGTCACAGCAATTTCATTAAATTACCCCCCCCCTTCTTCTGCTTGTCATTTTAATAAATGGTATGACACACAATATTTAAGATCCCTCTCTAGGGTAGGAGGGTCCAACATTTCACTATGTTTGATAAATGGAGCAAAATCACAATTACTTGGTACCCAAAAAAAGGACAAACAAAGAAGACGACCAAATAGGAGATGGGAAGATGAAACAGTAAATTATAGACTAGAATCACTCATGACAGGGCAAAATGGAAAAGATTAAAGGAGGCCTTTGCCTGGAAACTAGCAGATTTCTAGCTAGCTAGAAATTTTAGATATTTGTAATGTAAACAGCAAAAATAATGTTAGGTCTGAACAAAAGGCTAAATAAAATAATAAATTGTAACTTCACTAATAACTTGCTATACAATGCATAGTCGACCCCCCCCCCCCCTCTCTCAACCCGCTCCTCCTTAATGTCTGACATAATTGATGGTAGGCCCCTAACTGGACTAACTACTATCGTACTAACTAGAAAACTTGCAGAGGAGCCCCTTCCTGTCGAAGAGCTTCGCGTCGAACGGCGGCCAGTAGTAGAACAGCAGCTTGGCGGCGGAGACACGGGCGCCCCACGTGCCGTACGCGATCACGCACAGTATATCTTTCACCACCGACTGCTTCATCGACATTAGACACTCCAGCAGCTGGCAGTGGTGTGCTGTAATGACAGTTATTCTTGCTACTAATACTGGTCTTCTGCATGAAGGAAACAACCCCCCTGGGGGGGGGGTTAAGGAAAGAACCCCCCTAGGGGGGTTAAAGAAAATATTTAGATGTACGTCGATTTACAAGGCTCTACCTTCCATGTCGGTGTTAGACCCCTTAGGATCCTTGAGTTGAGGTCCAAGTTATTGCTCGAGTCTGATGGCGGTCTTCTTACTGAGACTACGAAGGAATTTTCTTCCATGTAGACTTAAATTGTGGAATGCATTACCTGCCGGGGTTTTCTCGAGTCTACAGCATTGGGTTTTTAAGAATGGTAACGCTCACGTGACACCTCTGGTGTTTCAGGCGTCCGTAGGCGACGATAACCGTCGACCATCAGATGGGCCGTATGCTCGTTTGCAACCATCGTAGAATAAAAAAAAGGGTGAAGCGGAACTCTAACCTGATGAATGAGGGTATGAAAAGAAAATATGATAATGATTAAAATATTTAATTGATACGACAGTGATATCATATAAAATTTATTACAAAAGGATGTGGTAAAAACATAATATAAAAAATTATTAATGTTAAACATGATCCTTCTGCTTTGACTTTATGGAGTCTGTGAATGGAATTTCTGCACAGCACAAATCACAATGACATATATCTATGATTGTTTCTTATTTATTTATGTAATTAATTTAATAAAATATTATCACAAAATGTATGAGTTCGCTACAAATGTTATTAGTTTCTTAATGTTTGCCAAAACTCATGTGACAGCCCTGGTGTTACAGATGTCCTTATACTACTGTGACCATTTACCATTAAATCGGTCGTATGCTTATTTTCCACCATACTTGTTTATACAGTAAATCGTCTAGTTTAAATGACAATTAATTTTGTTAAATTCGTAAAAGTAATGTAATACACAATACCCATTATTAAATGAAATAATATTCTCCTCAGCCATCTATTTTACAGGTAGGTACTGCTGGAATAGTATTAATAAAAACAAAATTGCCTATTTTCAATTTAATTACCCCTCTGGTAGTAGTAGACTTTGTATAAAGTCAAAAAGTACCAGTCTGACTCACCCACTTCAGCTGCCGTGAAATTAAAGGGTAAGAACGCTTGACATCGCAGTCCACCGGAATAGCAATCTAAAAGGTATATGTGGGAAATTGTCTTCCAATGAGGCAATAAAACACTTACTCACTCGTATATTTTAATTAATACTAAAGAAAAAAATACGTCCCCTCATTAGCACTGCTCAAAGTGAGGTGATGGAACAACTAGCAGAATTTATAAGTAAACTCAAGACACCATAAATCACCCAATCCCCTTTCGTCCAAAACCCCGTCCAATTCAAACGGGTATTATGACCCTTACGGGTGCAGGCCAATTCGGACCTCATGGATATGTCTTTAGTCTAATTAAAGTCGTATCCGTGAGGCAGGAGTTGGCCTTCGGACTCCATAAGTCCCTCCGTGGGTTTGCACTTGCCCCCTATCGTAGAGTAAAGCTGACTAGCTAGTGCCATCATTTTTTATGACATAGGGGACAACCGGGCTTGCAACTCACCTGATGGTAAGTGAAGGAAAATGCAAGTGCGGCGCCAGCCTTTAAGAAAGAATAATCTCTTCTTGAAGGTTTCAATATCATATCGGTTCAGAAATACCATTGCTGGAAGATGATTCCACAATGTCAAACATGTCTGTTGGTAGGTTAATTTTGTCTAATGACACTCATATGTATATGCGATAAATGTCGATTACCATCAGGTGGGCCAACAGGTTGTTTTTTATTACAGCTCCGTAAAAATTCGTATAAATAGACTTACAAGGATAGGACAAAAAAGGATAATAGGATAGGCACTTAAGCAAGAATACAAATAACAGCTTATTACAAAATCAAACATTTATTACTTTGTAACGATAAACTTTGGTAGTTAAGTATGGAGTAAGAGTTTGTAAAAAAAATAGTCTGTTTCCGTTTGCACTGACGTCGGGGCACTAGTGGTCACCCTGTGGTTCACAAGAGTATAACACAATCCAACTATGTTACACTCTGGTTATCCACAGGGTACCCCACACACATGTATTCACTATCTTCATATATTTATATCTTATATACCCAGTGGAGGTCGTGTGAGCTCATAATCCGTACCTGTGCCAAATCTGGTTATTTTTACAAATTGGTAGGTCATATAAAAGATTTCTTGCTTCTTTCATATCGTCATCGTCATCATCTTGGAATACTGATCTGTCTGATATTGAAGTATGGTCGTTTACCTCCTGGGGAAATTGTCTTTTCGTGCTTTTGAAGTATTAGTTCGGCCCCTTATCCTTCTTTCCGTGACCTCTGCCAAGGAAAGAAGGATAAGGCGACAAACGATGGCTATGCTCTTCCTACCGCCGTAATCTTCGCCGTTGTCTTCCAGATTTTGAAATCTATTTATTATTTTTTAAATATAACTGAAAGGCTCCACCTGATGATAAGCTCCAATCGTAGCCCACACACTGAACAGCACCAAAGCAGACATCACCTCGCTCACCCGCTATACCTCATATGCGTTGCCATTCTATAGAACTAAGATGTCAAGCAACTTATCCTGTAATTTGCACCCTACAACCGAAACACGGCAAACAAGCTGTAATAGGACTTTTTGTAACAAGTCATCTGCGTGAATACCTTAGTCTTCCCTAGGCTGATAGGTTGTAGCCTAAACTCTGTTGAATCTGTATTTATTTGGCGTCGAAGTTAACACTAACTGAAACACATCTTGTAGTAGTCATTTTAACATTTGTGTATCTTAGCATCATGAAGCGAATGAAATAACACATAATTTTAACATTTGTGTAACATCAGTTAATATACAATTTTGGGTGCAATGAAAATGAAAAAAAGGGGCAGGCAGAGGGGGTCACCTGACTATCATTGATAAGGAAAGTATGAGGTGAAGTGATTGCTAGTAATGAGAACTCGTGGCCCACTTGTGCCCCCTCATCATGCCATCCGCCAGTGGTGCTTTGCTAGCTTAAACCGTTAGCGATGGCGGCTCCACTATTGTTAACCATAAAAAAAATAGGGTAACTTATAATATTATAGTCAGGATCATAAAATATTGGTGGCCTCACACAAACTAATGGTAGCGGAGTTGAACAAAATAATGTAAAGCCAATGAGTACTTAATAATAGCCTAACTTACCAGGGTTACTAGAGTGCTGGAATACCATCATCACAATGGCTGCGACTGACTGCGAAGCTTGACTCTCCTCCTCTTGTCCAGAGTACTTTCGTGCTGTAACCATTTTATATCTAGTGTAATGGGCCATTACTGAATTACGTCTCATGATTTTCATTATTATTACCCTTTTGCCATCTTTGTCCAAGCTGATAATATGTGTTAATAACTTTTTTATATATGACGTGACACAACATAAGGAACCCCTAGGGGCTCCTATATATATATGTATATATTTTTTAAATTTTTAAAATTTTCTGTTATTATTACTAATTGTTACTTCGTTAGCGTGGTATTAAAGCAAATAAAAACTAAATAATTTCTTACATATTTACATTAGCAATTTGAAAGTGAAATTCCCAACAAAATCGGTCCAGCCATTTCAGAGATCAGCAAGAACAAATAGACAAACAAAAATTAATTAAAAATTTTTTTTCAAGTAAGTACCGTATATATTTTTTCATACGAATTTAGTGAAACGGAGTTAATTGTACGTACATATAAAATAACATCAAACAATTTATAACAACTGTAAATATTTTTAATAAAGTATTACTCACTGATAGTAAAAGGCAGAATATAATAGCAGAGTAAATGTAGTATCTCTTGATGTAGGGCGACTGGGAACACTGCGACGCAGTATGCTACCAAGTATGGCAGATTGTCTATCATATCATACTCCAGGAATGGCAGCAAGCAGCCCAGACACTGTAGAACTGCCTGACCAAATGCTGCAACACGTATAAAATTCTAATGTTATTTAGTGGACTGTAGAGAGGTTCCATTGCTATTGAGTAAAAACAACATATGCATCATGACTAGGGCCCTCACAGGACACTGTGAACCTAACTGTTTGTGTAACACAAATTGAACCTAGGCCTGTGCACAACAAAAACTGCAGATTTTGCCAAACTGAAGAGGAAACGCCACTACACATCCTATGTAGTTGTAGCCCACTCATACATAAACGTAATATGTCCTTTGGAAAGCTTATACTCTATCCTGAGGAGAAAAAAACCATCGCTCTTAAGAATATTCTTCAATACTTGTCGCTGATGTGTCTAAGTAACGAACTTTGAAAAAGGGCGAGCACAATAGATTTATGGATGTCGTAGTGCTACAGGTCCAAGCACCTGACAATAGCCCGAACTCCCCAATAAAAACAGGTTCTTTAGTAATGAAAACAATTAAATTGGCAGGAGACTTGTGTATTCCCGTTGATTTCACGATAGAAGAGAAAACGGAAGTGTTTCCATATTAAATTAAATTAAAAATTAAAAAATTAAAAAATTAAAAAAGCCTTTTTATTTCTTGCTTGTTACAAATTTATGGTGTTAGTAACTTAGAAATATATATTTATCACTATTTGTTAATTTATATTCAAGTATTTTTATTATTATTATTATTTACTATATGTATTTATTATTATTAATCTATTTGTTACTAATATGTATTTATATATTTACATATATTTAGAAGAACCCCATTTTGGGTAAAGGCCTCCTCCAAAGATGTCCATTTGTCTCTGTTTTGTGCTACTAATGTCCAGTTTGAGCCAGCTACTCGTTTGATATCATCCTCCCAGCGAGTCAAAGGTCTTCCTGCCTGGTGGTCCGCTCCACAAAGTTACTTGCGTTGTCCATCTCTGGTCTGTTAAATCTCGCGATATGTCAGATTTCCATTTGAGCTTCTTTGCATAACTCGTGGCATCAATTGCTTTAGTTATCCCTCTAATCCTGGTGTGTCTTATTTTGTCTGATTTTTTAATATTAAGCATACTTCTCTCTAGTCCTCTTTGACATACGTGGATTCTATTTGTAGCTTTAGCGAATTTCCATGTTTGACATCCATACGTCAAGCATGGTAAGAGACTGCAATTCATAACTTTTGTTTTTATAGCTATTGGCATATTACTTTTAAAAATTTCTTTAAGGCTCCAATATTTGTTCCATGTTTGTTGTATTCTTCTTTCTATTTCTAGTGTGTTGTTGTTTCTGTCAAAACTTATTCTTTTTCCGAGGTATACATATTTTTCTACATATTCCAGTGGCTCTCCATTAATTATAATGGGTACTTTAAAGCTGTTTGTCATTACCTTAGTTTTAGTGAGGTTCATTTCCAGTCCCACCTTAATACTAGCACTATGTAAAGATTCTATCATGAACTGCATCTGGCAACCCGACTCTGAAAGTAATACCAGGTCATCTGCAAACCTAAGGTGGCTTAAATATCTTCCTTTAATATATATTCCTGACTTATTCCAATCTATCTTACCCATAGTGGATTCTAGGATGGCTATGAATAATTTTGGAGAGAGGGGATCTCCCTGCCTTACTCCTCTTGTTATGGGAAAAGTTGGGCCTAGGCTTTCGAGTTTAATTCTTCCTGTATTGTTGTTGTATATACTTTTGATAGCATTTATATACACTTCTTCAACTCCTTGTTGGTTTAAGCTTTCCCATATACTTGTGTGTGTTACCGAATCAAATGCTTTTTGGTAATCAATAAAAGTGATATATAGAGATCCATGTTTTTCTTGATATTTTTCCATTATTAAGTCGATTGTGTGAATGTGATCAACTGTGGAAAAACCCTTTCTAAAGCCTGCCTGTTCTACCGGTTGTTTTGCTTCTATCATAGCGCTTATTCTTTTATTTAAGATAGTAGAGAAAAGTTTGTAAAGACTGGGTAGCAAGCTAATCGGCCTATAATTACCAATATCCTTTGGATCTCCTTTCTTGTAAATTAGTATGATGTTTGCTTCCGACCATTGGGATGGCGTTTCAGCTTTTTGAAGAATCAAATTAAACAATTCACTTAATGGTGCTGCTAGTATCGTGTTCGCGAATTTTAGTGCTTCATTTGGTATGTTGTCGGCTCCAGAGCTTTTTTCTAGTTTTAAACTCTTTATTGCATCCATAATTTCATTTTCATTTATCAGTTTAATATTGTTACAGTAGTTGCTTTCGATTTTTTTCTTTAATATTTTAGTTGTTTGCTTGCTGTCACTGTATAAATTTGTATAGAATTCTGTTGCAATGTTGACAATATCACTCCGTTTACATAAATCTTTTCCTAGGCTTCTTAATCCTTCTATCCATGATTTATTTGTTTTAAGTTCTTTGTAAGCCTTTTTTGAACTTCCGCTATATTGTAGGTGTCTCTATTGTATCTTGCCTATATTTTGCATAATCTCTCCTTATATATCTATTAACTAGCTTGTATAAAGCTGAAAGTTCATTTTTCATAGAGCGTGTTTTGTTTTTTCTAATTTGTAGTTCTTTCCTTCTTTTTAGTAGTTGTAGTGTATGTTCATTTAAAATTTTATGTTGTTTATGTTCTTTTGTTATTTTGGTGATTTTCAAGCTTTGGCTGATAGCATTTATTAATCTGTCATAGTAGTTTTGCACTGATTTATTTTCTCGATACAATGATAAATCGGATAAGAATACAAGTTTTCATTGTATTTTATAATTTCCTCTTCACTCTTAAGTTTACTTACAGATTTATTTGTAAATTTGGCTCTACTTTTCTTTTGTTTGGAAAGCTTTATTGTTGCTCTTATTGGTCGGTGGTCTGAGGGATAGTTCAAGTTCATGGTATCCAGATTTTGAAATAATTTTGGTTGGTTTGAAAGGATATAATCAATCTCGTTCTTGTACTGTCCGTTTGGAGAACGCCATGTCCATCTTCGGTTTGGTTTTTTCTTGAAATATGTATTTATGATTGTCAATTTTTGTTCTAGCGCAAAGTCTACCAGTCTCTGACCTCTTTCATTTCTTTCGCCATATCCGTATTGTTTCATTATAATGTATTCTTGTCTCCCATTAGTATAATGTGTTTGTGTGCTTGTTTGATTGCTTTATCGATTGTATTATAGAATTCCTCTATTTCATGATCACTGGCTGCATCTGTAGGTGCGTATACTTGTATTATGGACAATTTATGACCTTCATTATTCATGTTTCCATATTATAACCTAAAAATTCGCTAAATTAAATATAGAAGTTTCCAGCATGAATGTTACATTTATCATTCATGACTTTATAGTGTCAATATAAATTATAAAAAGAATAGAAACTATCATATTCCTCTAGAATGGCAATTGAGTGTTTTTGCGGGTGACACATGATATCCATACTGATCTTTCGCGAGGAGAATCGCAAGCTTGTTTCCCATACCAGTTTAATAAAAAATATATCGCCAACCGTTAAATTTGCTATAGACCTCAAAGCGCACACATAGACCTGATACTGCCGTTTCTCACCCTGTATTCCATACTGAAGGTGCGGCGCCGCATCGACCAGCTGCGATATGGCGTTGAAGAGTCCCTTATAGTCCAAGTTTGGGTATAGGATCATCCTGTCAGCGTCGTTGTCAGCATCTCGCAGCATCTCCAAAGGTGACCGCGGGACATCTTTTAGTACACCTGATAAGGAGCAGAAGGCGTAATTATACACCCTCATAATTAATACCATAGCATATAAGCAGTCATATTGTTGTGTTTGTTACGTGTACAATAGACGAGGAAAAATGTTAGTCACTTGATACGGCACAATGAATTTATGAAAGACATTATTGAGGGAAAGATAGACGGATAGAGAGGTAGAGGAAGATCAAGGACCAGATACGTCAAACAAATTAACGACAGAATTGGAGTCGTGACGTATCAACGTTTAAAGAGTATGATGGAAGATCGTGAAAAGTGGCAAGTGGTGAGCTCCACCGACAAGAGGGTCGCTCTTAAATTATGAATGAATGAATAAACGGGTACAAACCCTATGACCACACAACAACCTACTGATCATTGTAAATTCTATGTACCCACAGGCTTCGCTCGGATACATTACAAATCTTTGAATTTATCGGCTTGTTCTATACTATAACACGTATGTATTAGACATATAAACCTTCCTTTTGAACCACTTTATCTATTGCTGAAAATTGCATTAAAATCCGTTGCGTAATTTAAAAGATATATAAGCGTACAGACATCAGCGGTATCTTCATTTTATACTATACTAGCAGACCCGCCCACGCGTTGCTGTGGCTAAGGTTCTTGAATAAAATAATACTGCGACATTAAATTGAGATGTAAGCTATCCTATCTTTCAAGTTGTATCAAATTGCACACAATATGCACATTAAATTTGCAATTGCTTCAGTAGTTTAGGAGTCCATCGCGGACAAACAACGTGACACGTAATTTTTATATATAAAGATAAATACATATAAAATTAAATCATACTATACATACTAACTTGTTCAATTTCAATCTGTAACAATTGAGAATCGTTGGCAATAGTAATACGCAACAAACAGGGTCGGAATCTCCAGACCCCTAGGCATTGCAAATCTAGGGAGATTTGAAATGACTAGGGGGTTACTAGGGGTAACTTTTGTTTAAATAGCGAAGGGTAGGGACCCCTCGCTGTTTGAAAGGGGTAGTTCATCTAGATATAATATAGGTAGATATAGACTATCATGTATAGACCTATATTAAACAGACGTTGGAGACCATCAACTTATAAAATTTATGTATTATAGGAATAAAGGACAAAAGTTTTGTTTATCCTACAAACGCGATGTACTTTATCCGTATTCCTTGTCGCAAAAAGCAATGATACGGGTATTGTATGTTTTTTTTAGAAACGTCTAAAAAAATAATGTAAATATTGCATGAAGCTTGTATCAATGAGAATGTTACCTGATTAAAATTTAAAAAATTAGAATATATTAATAATATTCAATTTCTTTTGTCGTAGTTATCTAATCGTCCTAATATAACCATTAGCCAATCGGGCTCTCATAAAGGTGTACTTAGCTCTTTGTTTTGCTAATAATCTATAATACACATATGTACTACATATTTCTGGTATCCACACTCCTAGCCCACAAGATACCGGTCTGACCAAGTTTAGGGACTACAAATAATAGAAGTAAAATTTTTATTGTAGTAAATACGTAAATGTAAGTCTATGTATATATAAATAATCTAATCTTAATAATAATTATTCAATTACGTAGATACATGTTTTTCGTAAATACATACTTATTAAACATAGAAAACACCCAGACAGACACAAGCAATCATACTTATGAATACAAATGTTAATGCTGTGCGACGAATCGAACCCGCGACCATCTGAAGTAAGGCGGTGTATTAAACCGGTGGACCATGAGGCTGTCGAATGAAAATGTAAATATATATAAATTAATAAATCAATCAATACTTACTAAGTAGCGTCTGTGAGAAGTATTTGACTGTGTTCGCGATATCAACGCCGGATGGCAACGGTTGTATGTTGTGCATCAACCGTAGCTGACAGTCGTACAGGCTGCGGATCTTCGCCGTAACTGTTAACATGTAATATGTCATTAATATACAGGCTGTTGCCAAAAAAACTCAATAATAGTAGTAACATAATGTAACAAATATACAGGTTGTTCCCAAATAACATGAATATAATGTAACACAAAGCATGCTGTGATTACCCGTAAACATGAGAACAGTTAGTTTAAAGACCGTTAGTATATATAGATTCATGATATATTGTATTTCTGTATATTACGCTGGTAATCCTTAAAAATAATTAAATTACGTACGCTTTTATAGAGTTATACGAGTACATTAAATAATGATTGAATTTTGTGTCGTAAAGACAGTAATTTTTTAGATAAAAATCCGTATTTAATATATTATAAATTAGAAAGCGAATATGTCTGTCTGTATGTTATTTTTACACGTTTATCAGCTGAAGGGATCTTACTGACATTTGACATGAATTGTATCATGACAAACATATATATATAGATAATATATGCATATTTATCTAAAAAAATAATCTGTAAAAGGGGTGAAAAGGATTATTGTGTTTTGTATAAATCGGCCTAAAAATATCCATTGTCGCTTCGGTCACAGTATACATTTGTAAGTACTATAAGTTTCTATACCTAAAAAATACCTACCTATTTAATGTATGTAAATAGGTATTTATAAAGGAAATGAAATTTTTGTATGAAATACTCTCTTTATTAAAAGAATATACATGAAATTCCTTTATTTATCACAATATATAACTAACACTATGCCCCTATGCCCTGTAGCAGTAGTTAATAATAAAATGTCTCACAATATTACGTTCAGTGGATCAAAAAGTTCATTTTTTTCTGTGCAAAAGAAAATGTTCAAGCTAGTAACCATCACAAGATATGTATATGATTCTATATCTTTAGACTTTGAAAAAAGTCTTCTATGTGGGCACCTACATCTCACCTATTCCAGCTGCCACGAAGCTTGCTTTGTAAGCTGTTTTGAATGACCGATGAGATATGGTAGTGAACTTACTAACACTGAACTTACAGATTATGACACGACATGTTAGTCCTCCAGAACAGCAAAGAATAATGTCCGTTGCATTTAATATAGACGACAGTTATCACTTCCCATCAGGTGAATTATCAGCTTGTTTGCCATTCCAATACATAAAAAAGTGCTATTGCATGTTTAATCCATATCCATACCAATTATGAATGCAGAAGTGTGTATATTTATTATTGCTTCATGATTAAACAGCTAAATAGATTTTAATGAAATTTGATTATATAAATAGCATGCAAGCAGACAAGGGGTCACATATAGTATAAAATCATAATCATAGACAAAAAACAAAAAATTATAGTTTTGCTTCCGAGAACAGCCCCATAAAAAGCAAGGGATGTATAGAGGGTTTAGGCTTATATGTAATTTATACACAAATTCTTTTTTATTTCTTGATCAGATTGTTTGCGATTGTGTTCGAAATATTTTATCTAACTGCAGTAATTTAGATAAAATATTTCGCTATCAATCTACGCCGTTCAAAATGCTACGGCACGTATCATCAGCTACATATGCTTGTGTAATAAGTAACTGTGAAAATCTTGATTCGAAGTACCTAGTGCGTGCGCAAATGATCGGAAACGCCCAATTGACACGTTTTTTTAAATCGTTGCACTGTTTTTTTTTTAACCCAGCATTAAAAATACAATTATACAATTTCTCCCTTCTACAACTAACCCCTATTTTTAATGGCGTTTTTAATTTATGTGGCAAAACGTTTGATGGGTCAGCTAGTCTCTATATATATATAACATAAGTATGTCTGTCTGTTTGTTACCTCTACAACGTCTAAATGGCTGAACGCATCTTAATGTAATTTAATTTCATGAGGACGGACACAGGACATCTTTTATGTTAAAAAATGATCAGGTAGGGATGAAAGTATCTCTAGACGAAGTCGCAGACAACATATAGCATACAAAAGGTAGATGTTTGTTAAAATTTACTATATCGATACCTCTCGCTCAGCTACACTTATCGATTATTTTTTATATAGATGAGATGTAATATTTCTTTCATCCAAGAGTTGAAGTACCTTTGTAACAAATATTTTATTTCTATACCTGTTTCATGAGGGCTACAATTTAACGTTTTAATCATATTCAAGATAATATAAAATTTATCATATTGCTCCAGCCGTTACCTAGCTTTGCGCAAAGCTATCTAAAAAAAATGAATCGATAATTGTATTAAAGATTCATGTTTTTTAGATATAATCCAATTTTTTTTAAGTGTTGAAGTACCAATGACAAATATTTTATTTATCTGCCTTTTTCTTCAGAGTTACAGTTCAACATCGTTTTAATAATATTAATTATGATATATGTAATTTACTTACAACAAACAATATTTTTATAATAAAGATTGAAGATATCCTGCAAATAGAATTATAGGTTTACATAGGTACTTCAAGCATCTCTGTCTCTGACAGAGACACTTAAATTTACATTTAGACTACAGAAGATAAAAATATGTGTCTCAAATCACAGACATTAATATAAAATTATACTCAATTCCAATAGGATTTAATAAAAAGATAAACATTTTATTTTTCTAAATAATTACATACATTCACAAAAAAAATAGACAAAATGTGTTAGTTTTGCCACAGAATAGTAATATAAAATGCTAATATTGATATTACGCCAAAAGCAATTATATATTAATTTTAAAAAATCGTAATATCTGAATTGTAATGGTTTCAACTACATTAATTGAAATAATATTCTATCCAATTCGATTTTTAAATGGTATATGAAAAATATTTTTAAAAATTTAGAAGAAAAAGGTTGAATTATTTATTAAAACCTTTCTTTGTCAATAAAACGCATGAGTGGTACTGTTCTTGTAAATAGGTGACTGTTACCACTTACCATCAGGTGGGTTAGCTTGCCACCCCAATTACATAAAAAGTACTTAATAAAAGAACGAAAAATATTTTAAAGTAAATCTTACCAAGCAATATATTAGTTAAAACTGCACACATATCGGTTAATGCCTTTCTGAGATTAGCACGTACAAACGCACAGCCAAAAAGTCACGATAATTTATGTGTGCTCCGCTGACAAACTCTCCCGGCAATAAATTTTCACCATGGCCAGACAGCGATCATTACATGTTTATTATATCTATAGATGTCTGGATTATTCCCCCGGCTCCCCCGCTCCCCCGCGTCGTCTCGTATTTTGTCGGTATTGTTCGGGACCCTTCGGCTGTCCCGGCGCGCACCCCGTTCTCCCCGCGGTTTCAGTACTTTTGAAACGCCCTACACACGACTCTAAAATCAGGGGTGGTATCGGGTTGTGGGACGGAGGGAGGGAGGTACTGGCTCGCAGGCGCAGTATATGAAATCGGCGTCAATTTCCCTACACACAAGACGACCTAGGTAGGAGCGCCCTGGAACGATCGATCCAGGGCGTTCCCCACCACTGCTCCGATATTCCCCCTGATTGTACTGTCTGGCCGGTTAAATGAGATTTGAAATCAATAACAGCGGGGAGATGTCAGACAGCACTGTACTAGACTATAAGTACCTACCTACAGTAGGTGTTGTCTGCAGTTAACCTCCTAGTTAAATGAGATTTGAAATCAATTATATAAGTCCTATCTACCTACTACCTACCTACAGCCTACAGTGTTGTCTGCACATAATTATATTTATAGTTAACCACCTAGTTAAATGAGATTTGAAATCAATAACAGCGGGGAGATGTCAGACAGCACTATACTAGACTATAGGTACCTATCTACCTACTACCTACCTACAGCCTAGTACAGTGTTGTCTGTAGATAATTATATTTATAGTTAACCAACTTAGATTTTTCCCTTGGCCTGAGACCATATAATTAATGTATTGAACCAAATCGGAACATTAAATAGATATTCAGTAAAATTATAGATTTTTTATTAATACAGCTATTTGTTTCACTAGAACAAGGGATTAATAACTTGCTCATATTTTTATTAAAAACTTTTGGTATTGAGTATAAATAATTTGGCATGTGAATAATTGGCAGTCACAGGACATGCTCATAGAACTCCATAGTCATAAAGAAAAACCTCAAAACATTTTTAAACATGGAAATGTTTTATCTCTTTCTTTCAAGTATAATTCGCAATATGAAAGAAAGCGAGCAAACACTTATGGTTAAAATAGATTTGTTTGAGTTCCATTTTTATTAATATATGCAAAAAATATATGTATAGTGGCAAAGTCTCTAAGAAGAGAAGGGGGTACAAATAAAAGTTAAGCCTAACCTGAAAGAAAGGTGAGCCACAAACAATCAACATAGACAATCGAGAAATCAAACCTGAAGTATAATGTTGCAGCAAAACAACATGAATTGGAAGGGTGGTTATACAGTACATCAACAGAATATCGTGCATCATGTCTTAGAGGACAGAACAAGGGTCATCACCTTTTTAAAACTGTTTAGAGCATACACTTTTAACTTTTATTACTTTGAAATATGTTTATATATCACATGTGTGAGGATATTGCTTGCAATAATGAACATAATTACAAAGTATTAAAAGTTGTTTTTGCATGGTAACAGTGATGCTCCGTTCTAATATACTTATAGAAAATATACTATAACAAGATAGACCTAAAACAGATAAGGACATAGATGCAATGTGAGGACCTTTAACAATAAGAAATAGGGTTGCCATTATATGAAGTATCAAAAAATAAATAAGTGCAACAATTTCAATGTAATTGTTAACTTGTTAAAGTTTAATTTAGTTAACAACTGGCATAAAAACAATTACTGATTAATTTAAATAATAATTAAATCAATCCTTGATTAATACTTAATTGAATTAAATTAAGAAGTTATTTTGATATAATAAAATATTCTTTATATTAATATGAATATAAAATATAAATAGAAGTTAATTATCATTTGCTTCCTAGTGAACCAAAGGATAACAAAACAAAATATAACAGCTTTTAACAAATAAATAATATCATGCATATTGTACATTATATTATATTATAGATACCAACACATTCTAAGTTATTAAAATATTTTTTTTCACAATAAAATGGCAACCCCATTGGACGACAGATGGTACAAAGCATTGAACGTGCGGTCAGGGTTCCGCAAACACTCAAACCAAATGGTGCAAGACAAACCACCCTCGACGAGCTCACCTTTCAGATTCAGCGGCTCCAGTACATACTGCATTTCGAACACCTGTGGCTGCATTAGGACACACAAAAAGCGACTATGCTATGGGCCCGCCCAGTTTCAGATAACTCTGGAAAATAAATGTGTTAATGTCATAAGCGTAATCAGGTATTTAAGGTCACAAGACAATGATCACTTAAGAAACAATAGATTGATTTGTTAGGAAAGTCCTGTAGTATTTTAGAAGAACCACCTGGTTACGCTCATGAGTTATGCATCAGCGATATGACGCGAGAATGTGGAAACGCGCGATATATATTCACCGCAAAAAATTTTGAAAAATTTTATCGTGGTCAGTGCACACAATATAATTTATTAATCTGTTTGTAAAATGGTCGCACCTCAACAAAATCGATTTAATTTACGAGAGCATAGGGAATATTTGACTGAAAGTAATTAATAAAGTTTCTCAGTTTTTTTATAAACAATGCCAATTAATACATTCCAATTTTAAATTTGAACTATTTATCGCGAAATGATTCCAATGTTCGAAAATCAAAAATCAAAACCAAATCGATAGAGCGACGCGCACTAAGTTCACAGAAATTTGAAGCTCGTATCCACATTCCATCAATTAATATTATCTCAATACTGAAATAGGATATTTAATAAGGATATACTTACAGGCCGCCGCCCGTGTCCCCATGTTTATGAGCTGAATCTTGAAACTGCCCTGCATTGAAGCGCCGGTCTACACTCGCGGTTAGCATCAACGACACGGTACGGAGCCCAATCAATAACAGCAATTCAGGTTTTAAAACACGAATAACCGACTGGGCGAAAGAGATAAGACCTGAATCTAGATTTTCCCTTCTCTTCAAGCTATTGATCGATTTTCCCGGTACAGCGAAGCGGTGGGGTTGGTCCAGACTAAAAAAGTTTGTTTTGTTTGACTGACGCGCGCTGGCGCGCATGCCCAGATCAGCTGTTTTGTGAATTGAACTGAATTGTGATGCCCATAAATGTCATTGTCAATGTCAAATTTCTCACTTAAGTCACTTTTTCATTCTCCAGCATTATATGCATGAACATGCATATAAAACGATATAATTAAATCATGTACCTATGTTAGGACAATCATTTAGTATTATATAAATATGTGAAAATAACAGTATGCAATTTCATGTAATGGCATGTTTTCATTTAGTTAGTCAATTGACTACAATAACAATAATTTCCGGTTTCCACTACAAATTCATATGAAAAGCGCGATTATATAAATTTATTTATAATATTTAAAGATCCACGATCCCATAAATCTGTAAAATGGTTTTTTTTTGCCTAAAGTGATAATCGCATAAAGTGATATACCTGGTATACGTGTGAGGGAACCGATTATGATGTGTATTTTTATTTAAAAGTTAACGTAATCCTGATAGGTATTAGCTAGAATTTACTACTTTACGTACTTTAGGTACTTTTAATATTCGGGGTACTTAGAATTTTAAATTAAAACAAATCAAATATCATTTATTTATGTAGGACATAATAGCCGCTTATTAATAATTATCATAGTTGTTTTTTTCATAATTTGTGTCTGAAAACTGAATCGATGCAATATAACCAAATAATGAAACTTGTATATGCCATTGTAATAATATTATACTTCGTACTCTACGTATGACAGAAGTCTTAAATATATTTGTTGTTAGTAAGTAATTTATAATTAATTAAGTAACGTCAAAAAAAGAAAAATTGTTTTAATAAAAAAACCATTTTAATATCAATAATTTATCGTATCACAATAGAAAGAAACATTACATTGTGTGTAATACTATGTAGTACCTATTTGTTTAAAACTAAGCATACAATTAAATGTTCAGTACGGCCTGCGTTACTAAACAATAATTGACAGAATAATGTTCGTCTAGTCGAATAATATATAAACTTATCTATTTTTTTATATCTATATAATGTAAATATAAAGCAAAAAAATATCACCGCAGAATTTTAAGTCCCCACTGTCCACAATAGGTTTTAAACGAGTACAAATGTTCGACAATGCATGCTCGCTATAGTTTATTGACTTGTGTACCGTTGGCATTGAAACTAAATGATTCCGTCGGCCATTATATCATCAACGGTTGTCCATCGCGCCGGCCAGTGCTTGTTGTATCACGAGCTGCTGGGCACTTATTAGCTTCTTTAATTCCCTCACTTCCTGAGTCAATTGGCGTACATTTTCTGACGTCTCGTCTAGTCTCGCCTGTAGACTTCCTAATGCTGATGAATAGCCGTATTCTCTGTACCCCGAATCGTTGTGGTTTTCGTACTTTTTGAAACATGAATACGCTCCTGTAGTAGAACCACTGGAAGAAATAGTATGTCCGTACTGCTTTCTCATTTTCGCTATATCGTAGGCCGCCATCATTATGTCTCGGGGTAATCTTTTTTCACTCGGATTCAACGGTTTGACACTTAGTACCACTCTATAAGCTTGTGGAGAGACCAGTGCTGACGAATGTAATATTTTTAACAGACATTTCGGTAGATATCCATTAAAGAGAGCCAGTTCCATGTATGATATTAATTTCGTCTGACGAACAAGTTTGGAAAGACCTGCTGTTTTTCTTAAACCTTGAATATCATGGACAGCTATGCCGACGAGTAAATTCATGAGTACCACAGTGACGAACATAAGAAACAGCACATAGGTTATTTGAGCGGAGAACTCTAATAGTACAGGCGGATCGTTACCATCCGGCTCGTTCAATAGTAAATCCAAGTTCAATTCTCCGATCATCATTGTGAGGACCGTTATAAAACCCATAAACGGATTAGCGAATGATGACGAATCAGGAAATATGACGCAGAAGCTTATTGTGAAACCAATCAGGATGCAAGAATAGGCCATTAGTAGTTTAGCGAATTCTTTCTGTACTTTCTGATACATGGCTACATATGTTCCAAAAACTGGTAGTTGGCCAATCATCATCATTAAATTAGTCCATCCGGCGAGCACAGCAAATGCACCGACGTGATTTTGCCATGTATAAGTAATATTTGTGTATATATACGATATCAGAAAAACACTCACAATCACAAACCATTCAATGATATTTTCAGACTGCGTTAGATATTGTTTCACCGTAGAATATCCAGCGATACCATATACTTTGCGAAATATCTCAAAAATTGTGATTCCGGCCAATACCCACCATTGCATTTCTATAACAAAAGGATTTTTTCTCAATAAATCGCCAAGTATAGACTGTTTTTGACATAATTCTTGTTCTTGTATAGTTTCTTCCATGTCTTTGCTGCCATTATAACAATTGTGGGCAAGAGCAGTTAATACGTATAATGTGAGACAAAGAACGAAAATGAAGCTAAGAAATAGTCGGGCAACATAATATTTGCGAATTTTTTCCCATTTTATATATAAAAACGCAGAACATAACGGATGAAGAAGAACTTCTTTTTGACCTTCATCAACGAACGTATTCAGATAACTTATTTCACGTGGATAGCAATGTTGAAGTATGCTTCTGAAATCAAGCTCGAGTTCGACTTCTCTGTTGCTGGTTTGGGAGTGATGTAGTGTGATTGCACAATCCAATTTCCTAGTTATCATTGCAAGAGATGCAGGCGTTTTTCGTGCAATTACATTGAGTGCCGAATTTCCCTTTTTAGATCTTGTCGTTACATCAGCGCCGTGATAAATTAATGTCTCTACACAAGCGGATAATCCATCAAGTGCAGCTAAATGCAGTGGTGTAAAGCCGTACTCATCCTTCTGATTTACATTAGCACCCCAACTTATCAAGGTTTCGATAATATCACAAGCACTATCTGATTTACCTATAGCAGCATGGAGGGGTGTTCTCATATCAAAATCTTTAGCGTTAGGTTCAGCGTGTCCCTTTCGGAGTAAAGACTCTACGCATTCCAAGCTAGATGATCGAGCTGCTAAATGCAAAGCAGTAAATCCTCTATGGTTTTTCAAAGTAGCCTCGGCGCCTTTTGCTAACAATAAATCAACACAATCAATAAAACCTCCATCGGCAGCTAGATGTAATGCTGTTGATTCGCGATCTCCTACCCTAGTTCTGACGTTTGGGTCAGCACCGGGTGTGTCTAAAAGTATTGTGAGACATTGAATCATGCCCAAATCAGCCGCTAAGTGAATAGCGTTGGTACCACCCGGTTCAATCAAATTTACGTCGACACCGTGAGATATGAACAACTTTAGACATTCCACAGAGTTAGCTCTAACAGCGCAGTGAAGCAAACCACCTTCACAGTTAACATATTTCACTGCCGCATGAACTGACGCACCCCTGCTGATTAACACATTTGCCACCTGCACTGAATTACCGAAGGCGGCACAATGAAGAGGCACGAAGCATCTAGGCATATAATTGGGGTCAACTCCGCGAGATAGCAAGTAATTTGCACATTCCGTTGATCCGCTGAATGCTGCGACGTGTAACGACGATAGCCCGAGCGCGTCATAATATAACGGGTCTGCGCCGGCGTCCACCAGAGGGGGCAACAGGTTAGCAAGTTTGAGGAATGCTGTCCAAAATAAGCACACATTCCTCTCTGCTTCGGACACTGATGCAAAAGTATCCGCTGCCGTCTCAGTAGTTATAACCCCAGTTTCTAATTCGTCTAATAGTCGTAATCTTCCACCGACCGCACGCATTTGTTCGTGTGCGCTTTGGCGCAGCGAGTCATCGCATATATGCGCAGTTAGATCGAGTGGTGGTTCCTCGAAGCTGTCGTACATATTGGGGGCACTCTCTGCTGGGGGCGAGGAACCAGCGAGTACGTACTCGAGATGACCCATGGAAGGGTAGGCGCGTTCGAGAGACTCCTCATCGATGGGCGGGCTCGTCTGATGCTGGGCGCGGGCTGGTGAGCTGAGCACTCTGGCGACACGGGGCCTGCGATCCATGTCGTGGCGCGGTAGGGTTCTCGGGCGGACGTCATCGAGCTCTTCGGGGTTGGGGGAGCGGCGCGTACGGAACCACCGCAGGGTGCGTATGCGGCGCGTGGTTGGCATGCGGGCGGCGATGCGACTGAACGCCGGCGCAGCAATTGTGGGACAATTGTGACCGTGCTCGAGATGAATCGGACGCACCTTTCAGCTGATAAAGGTGTTTCCACACAATCAATAGTTTGTTTAATTGATGATTTGAATGATTTTTTTTTATAAAAGTAAATTGATTTATTTTAAAATATTTTGATATATACAAGATTATAAACAAGACAAGCTAGTTTGTTAGTGACAAACGAACGACAAGATCTTGAATTGTAAATGGTTTTATCAAGACAATGAGCGTACCACTTGCTATTTGTGTCGGCTGATGGTTATTTACTAACATTTAACTCGATGATATCATTGTCATAATAATGAACTTGAGAGCATGTCCGAGGTGATTTAAAGAGACCAATTCATAGCTGAATCAGGTTAATTTGGCTGCGAAAACTGACAACTAGGTATCTACTTAGATGTTATCGCGTCTATACAATGAAGCGGTAGGTACGTCTTCGTAATAATTATGTCTTGTAATTGATATAAACTTGAGACAAAAGAATAGAAAAACCGGTTCAATTAGTAGATAAACCTACCGACTATCGCAATTGCATAATCTACTTTATCTGATATTTTATGGGTAATACGGGGTTGGTAGTAATAGGTGAGACAGATATAGTACTGCCTACTATTTCAATAGTGCAATGCAAATATGTAGGCGTATTACATTTTGCATCATGTTGCAGTTAATATATTGATTACTATACTTTTTTTTAATTGATGGAATTAGCACAGTTCCTTATACGCTAATAGTACATGTTGGCTGGACCATGAAGTCAGGTCAGTTAGCCCATCGTGGCGAATTCACCAGAAATTAACAATTTGGTTTCCAGGATTCTTTCTGTATTCCGATTATAATTAGTCCCATATATCTACTAACAATCAACTCCATTGGTTTCTACCGGCGTTATAAAGTGCCGTCAGTTTGTTTGTCATTCCAAACACATATAAAAACACGTCCGTCACGTTCGTTCTTGATTGGGTTAATAGGTGAGGTGAAACCTCTAAAAATGTTATTTACTGGCACAAATGTTGGCATATTTTCCTCGTAGCTGTGTTATAATAAAGCATTATGTAAATCTTTAAGAGAAAAGTACGATTTACAACTCGTCTTATTTGTCAAAGTTCTCCTTGTTCGTTCTCAATATGAATGTAAATGGAACATTAAGTTATCATGGCACCCGTGACACCACTCACTCACCATTCCGTCAGACTCTATACGTATATTGCCATGGCTTGTATCCTGTAATTTCACCTCTTGGTGAACTGCATGGTGGCTGAAATATCTAGAAAGGGGTGATAGATAAATGAACTGGAGGTAGTTTTTTTCAACTCTTATTTTAAACTCATGCTTGCTTTCGGCTCGAATGTTAACCTCATCCTTGTTGGTAAGCTGTTAAGACGACGCATCGCAAATATTGACCTTAGAAACCTCAATTTTTCTCAGCAATTACAAATCCTTCAGGGCTGATATTTAGGTATTTAATTTTCACATCTTTGATATCATATTTACTGTTCTCGTTACATGATTCATTAACTTTTATAGCAGAGAAAAAAATCTCAAAGATTGGTCTTATAAAATATATTTTTGATTTGTATAAGAAAATGGGAGATTTTTTTTCATTATACTAAATACACACTTAAATTTTGTATATAATAACCAACAGTTTTTATTTTAAATAAGATAATACCCGACATCTACTTTTCTCTTTCATTAACAAACTAATTAAAAAAGAAGAAAACTGCGGAATTGCCTTTCTTTCGAAGTAGATACCTACTAATTTGTAAGGTTTGTTTTCGTCTCTACAAGGCTTCCAGAAAATTCGTGTTATTAGGTAATTATTTTAATTAGTACCTATCTAGATAACGTTTCATTTCTTTAATTTAATGAATAATTAACAACAGTCGCGTGTCCGTGGTTATTTTTATACTACGACGGTGGCAATCAAGCATACGGTCCATGTGATGGTAAAGGGTTACCAAACGCGTGAAACGCCGGGTTGTCACGTGGACATTGCATCTAATCAAAAACCTTAATATAGGGTATATTATAAATGTCTTAATAAATACCATGCTATTGTCCAAGTCTAGTAGAAAACGTCGGTAATTCATTCAAATCCTTTCTTCGAGGCTTAAGTTCCAGAGCGTGATGATTCGGTAACGGTATTGAAATTATAATATAACTTTTTTGTTTGCTAATCGATTAGAAAAAAAGCTAACCCAAAAAGTTAGGGAATCTTTGATAGTCATTAACGTTTCGTTTCACTCTTAAAAGTTCCCACGATTTACAAATTATGACTTAGTATTTTGCAACTAAAATATTCGTACACATTCGTACCATTCGTAATATATTAAATCATTAACAACTATTTAACTTAAATGCAGCAATTGTTAAATGTAAAATTAGTAACTGTCACCTGCAGCAGTATAGTGAAGACCGCACACAAATCGGTTAAGCCGCTTTTTATTCCTTAGCACGCACGACTGCACAGACATGCAAACAAAACCTCTAGCAATTATTGATTATGGTTGTTATTTCTTCTATGCAAAGACAGATTTTAATCTCAACAGGTACATATAATAAATATTACCTATCTATTTAAAATACTGTCCAGTGAGATCAAATCTTAAGTTGACGAGTTGATACCTGTGCCCTATACTATGTTAGTTATAGAGCAATTTTTCAAAACAAATTGCCATATTTTTTTACACATCATTAAAGCATAAAAAACAGGTATTTTGTCTGAGTCACGCTTTATCACGATGTCAACTACCTTAGTAAAAAACAATTAATGAAGGTTACTGTTACATTCGTAGTGTAATTTAAGCAGGTAGGTAGGTACCTAATTAAGTGATACTGTATCATTTACGGGCGTGTACTTGTATAGCAAACTCTAATTTATGCGTAGGTATACAAGGATTATTTTAATATTTACCTATTTACGTAATTTGTAGTATTAACATTCCTTAGTACTCTTGTTTAATTTCTTTTTATATAATATGTGTACCTACTTTACAAAACTGCAAAAATAAAGACTGTACTCTCATGACTGTAATTTTACGGAATTTGTAGTCATTTCGTAGAAGGTACTCTTGTATAATTTTTTTATGTAATATATTATACATAGTAATATTTACATTTTCGTTATTTGTGCACAAATAAAATTTAAAAAAATCATTATTGAAGCATAATTATAACAAAGAAATGTGACTAAGAATCATCACAAAAGTAGTTGCTCTAGATTATCTGGATTGGGTAAGAGAACCTAACCTTGGGGTTTTTAGCCGGTAAAAGTCTGGCAGTATCCGTCTACCTCCCCCGGGGCTGAACTCCATGAAAATTTTCCTCAACTTGAAAAATATAGATTATAGATATAACAAGTCGATTTGCAATATGTGTCATCGAAATAATTTCAGTATATACCATAGGTAAATAAGAATCTACTTGACAGGGTACATAGTCTGTGGAAGATATTCATAGTTAGGCTTCTAGTTGGATGATTCCCATATCAATAGTGAATTAACATGACCATATCATGTCTCCAACCATTCATGACGAATGCATAATAGGAGTGCTTCATTTTTACAACTAACCAACTCGCCGCGAACAATACCATAGCTGGTTGATTTCAGCGTCATCATTCGACGATGACGAATTGATTTGAGGATAATACAAGGGCAATCCCATGGTGTACAATGTGGTACAAAGTCCATGTATCATGTGAGGATAGTTGGGGTTTATAATGGTATTATAGCGAGCGAGTGAGCTAGATTTATTGAACGTAACGAGTGCCTATGTAGCGTATCTATACCAATCTAAATACATATATGGTACATCCGCCAGCGACTTCAATAATATATAATTGTTTTCTAAATAAGATACAGATCATTTATTCTGCAATGTATGCAAACACGCATATGACAAAAATTTAGTAAAAATAATGAATCAAATTCAAATTAAAAAATAATTTATTGATTTAGAACATTTTAGCTACTTCTGAACGTCAAATTTTTATAGGTATTATATTTTTTTCCCTACCGTCCAGTTCAGTACACCGATTCAATTAAGAACTGGTAATTGCACCAATGGGGGTGGCATTCTCAGGAATATCCCTCAATATTTAATAGAATAAAAAAAAAGAACTGGCAAGAAACTCAATTAAATATCTTATTTTTTTTTTTGTAAAGAAGCCAGTTTATTTACTTTATTTACTTACATAGGTAGGTCTATGGGTAACATTAAATGAAAATCCCGTGCTCAATGAAGAACTATTGCCATGCACGCTCGTCATTCAAAGTAATCGTTTAGTGAGTAATAGGCTTTGTTCAGTAAATATGATTTAACAGATGTTTGTTATGTTATTATAATAATGTTGGATTAGCAGTAATGTCCATGTCTTGGGCCCGCGTGGGAATCCACGCGATTTTCTTTTTATGTAAATTTAATGGCAAATGGATACTTATTTGCCACCTGATGGTAAGTGATAACCGTCACCTATATGAATAGTATTAGGGACATATAGTCATCAAGAGACACTTGTACAACCACTCATGAGAAGTCGTCATGCCTTGTGTATTGTTTTTTCAGTGCCCATTTTGACCCTACAATCGAAATACTGTTTATAAAGATGTAATCCGTAATAAATGAATATGGATGTAATCCAAATTAAATAAATTAATATGGATATAATCCGAATTCAATAAATAAATAAAATAAAAAAGCTGTCCGCCGGCTGAAATTGGTGAGACTGATCCACGCAGAAGATTTGTACAGTCTACTGGTAAACCATTGTTTCTTTTTAGCGATAAAACAATCATATTCATAAATACAAATGTTTGTGCCTTGCGAGAAAGCGAACCCGTGACCACAGAAAGTAAAGCGGCGTTGCCGTCGATATTTGTAAACTTTTTGTTTCAAGGTTATATAACTGAGGTATGAAATATTACTAATGATAGCAGACACTGAACAAACACCTGCCTACGCGGAAGTATTTTTCTCGGGTAATTTACAGTATTCTTGTAATACCTGTTGGATGTTAGGAATTATACATTAACTATTCAACACCTACATAGTACTGATCCTATTATTTCGTTTATTAAGACTTGTATGCAGTTATAATCCGCTGTCGTTTTAGTTAAGTCACTTAGATTTGTGCCATAAATCTTTATGTATAAGTATGTTACAAAAGGAGTCTATTGAATAGGCAATATATTTGACAATAATAATAATAATAACTGTGCATCTGCCGGGGGTATGTTGCCATCTCCTCTCCTTAAGAGGTGAGATGAGAATTTTTGGAAATAATAATAATAGAATAAGAATAGAATAATAATTTCTGACAAAACTGTACATCACAATAGACCCGACATAACATTACACGACAAAATCAATAAAAAAGTATATCTTGTAGATATAGCCATCCCAAACACACACAATATACAAAGCAGTCAATGAAAAACTAACAAAGTACACAGATCTAGCAATAGAATTAAAAAAACAATGGAAAGCACACACCATCCACATAGTACCCATAGTTTTGACATCCACAGGAATTATATCAAAAAGTCTGAACAAACACCTAGACTCGTTGCAGATCCCCTCCTCTACACACACTCTACTCACACTTATTTGAAATTTATCATTATATTTCGTCCAATTTACATAGTTTTTTTTAAATCATAGCCTGTGTTATTCTGATGCTGATCTAATATTACTGTAAAGTTAAATCAAAATTCATTCAGTAGTTTTATCGTGACAGAATAACAAACATCCATCCATCTATACTCACAAACTTTCGCGATTATAATACGTATTAAGACTATTATATTTAAAAAAAGGGTTAGTTTGCTTTGATTCGCTTCATTTGATCGTTAATATATCAAAATTTAAACAATAACCTCATGCATTTTTCTATTTTATTTATAACTATATTATGTAGGAAGTCTTTTTGTATTCTGTCGTGTGTGCATTTATAATTATATACCATTACAGCATGAAAATTATTAATCGGATAGTAATTTTTATATTATAGTTAACACTCATGTACACCTAAGAAAATACTTTTTTTATTTAAACTAGTCTTCTGTCGGCTACAGCTACAGATTTACCGAACGATATGGGGTGAGTGCAGATGGCGTTTCCAAATGATTTTAGTCTAGGGTTGGAATTTCACCTCGGGCCGTCGAATTTAATTAATTTCGATCCCCCTTTGAATTGGACGGAGGATGGACCGGAGGGGAAAAATATTGTAAATGTTACAAAGTCCTAACAAAAAGGTTTCTATTTCCAACTGTAGAACCATTGGAATAAAATTTGACAATCATAGTCCAACTAAAGACTATGACATAGTTTGGTGGGAAGAGAGAGGGGGAGGAAGGGGGACGCAGGTTTCAGATTACTGTATTAAAGAAATTAAGACTTGTATTAAAGTTTGAAAATATTTATTTGTTATACAGTTTGTTGCTTAACAACATAACATAATGTACAGTGTTCGAATTAATACAATTACGACAAGTTGCAGACCGTACAATCACAAACAACGGATAGGTATATGAACGTCTAACGAATTGTTAGGTACTTCGCGTAACTATATCACGAGCGTGTTAGGGCGTGATGTAAAATTAAAAAAATAACGTCTCAATAAACTTTTACATAGTAATTATTACTCATACACATTTTTGGATTAAATGTTTCATTTAAACTATAGTACTAACTATTAAAGCTAACCATTAACACACACTAAGACATAAATTAAAAACTTATTTACAAAATATTACAAATTTTATACACTAACTCAAAAATACATTTATTTTATTCCATAGAAGTATAGAACAATCGTTAAGATTGAATGATGTATATGTTCAATGATATTTGCATTAGGTATGTACTTTCTGTTAATTAAAATAAACGAAAATGTTATGACATGGCACAAAACAATAGTTAGAAACTGTAATTATGTAATACTGTGATAAACAAAGGCAATAATAATTGTTTATGATGTAATTGTTGCATAATTATAATCAGTTGATCTAAATCATTTAAAAAAAGAACAAAGAAATTACAATTTATAATTAAATAAAATTCCGCTTGCCAGTGTTATTCGAATTTTGAATTCGAGAACGAGGGAAAATTCTAATTTTAATCAGTATAGATATTTTTTTTAAAAATAATCAAAAGCGTGCAATAGCGGACTCAGGAACCTGCTGAGTCGCTGAGACGTTTTGGTGACATGCATACTCACATATTGACAAACAGCGTGGTAGAGATTGCTATCACGCGAATGTCACTAGGAGCTGGCACTTAGGAAGTTTCATTATTAAGAAAAATGTTTTATTTTACACCATAAGATTGTATAAGATTCTTCAACCCTGAATATTAAATTACAAACTTAACAATACTCATAGATATATTAGTTATTATTCAAATTCTCAGACTATATTTTGATTGAACCTGTGATATCAAACTATAAGAACGTTTTTTAAACTAACCACACGTTTGATAAATCTACTCTAGATTTTTTTGGTCAGACACAAGAAGGTCAAATATGTAATAAAAATGACAGATCTGAACGTATGTGGTTTACTAATTTTTTGCATACATTATATTTGTATATCCTAGTGTTTAATAAGATATACTAATATAATATAATTTCATATGAAATGAGGAACAATCGCGACGAACTATCTATACAATATTGTTATAACGCCCTAAAGAAGAAAATACAACACTTATTACTAATACTGTCGCCATGTTCCTCTCTTCAAAAAGCAATACATATCACCACTATGAATGAATAAGAAGGTTGTTTGTATGATCATTTAAAATGAAACTAAATGGTATTATGCTTGTGTACTATACTAGTCCTAGGTACTTTATTAGCAATGCTTATAAAAACACAATAATTATACTCAGTGGCGTAACTTCTGGTTGGTCAGAGCGGACAAACTGTTACAGAGTCCGTAAGTATAGGAAAAAAATAATATATATTAGTTTCTAAATATATTATTTAAATAATGTTTTCTTAATCGAGTTAAGAAATTAAAATGTGAGTTTTTTTATACAAAGCAAGGGCCACAGTAGTTTATCGCAGGTCTAAGATGCCACTGTTTCTAATATAGTTATGCCACTGATTCTACTTTTGAAGTATCAGTCGATAGATAGATGTTGCTATTCTTCCTTTTCATCACATTAAGGTTATTTTTTTAGTAAGTTAGGGTGTTTACTAGGAGGTTAATTTAAGGAATGGATAGTAACAATATAGTGAGAGCCATTGAGAGAAAAAAGATTTAGCAGGCATGCCGCACATCGCCACTGCAAATCGAATTGTTGAAGTAGTTAGCAGACCACATAAAATGTATTGAACGCAAAAGTAATTGTGGGCCTTGCGCACAAGTAATAGTACAGGATGTCGAGCATATACGATGTTATAGTATACAGTGTTTATATAAAAATTGCGAGCGTGGTTGTTTATTGTAGAATATACTACATTTGCACACTCATTGCTCGAGTAATAGGGCAGTACTTAAGCTGGTTTCACACTAGACCCAGGAGTAATTGCGGCCGTGGTCGCTAGACAGCACCTAGGCCGGTCGCACGCTAGATGCTGTCGGTGGGCAGCAGTTAGGCCGTTTGCACACTAGAGTAGTCGTTGCGGCCGCCGTTATATTAAGGCCGGTTGCACACTAGATACCGTCGTAGCTGGACAGTACTTAGGCCGGTGGTCACTAGACGCAGGAGTAGTTGCGGCCATCGTCGCCGGAGTAGCAGTGGTGGCAGTGCAGGCGACGCGCGCGTACACGTACATCTGCACCCGCCCGCCCGTCTCCGAGCCGCGCACCGCACACGGCGCAGTTGAAGCACCACACGTGGTAGCACAGCGACAGCGACTCGATGATCATGGCCGCGCCGCGACCTGAACACCACCAAATCATTTATTTATTAACAATAATATAATCAAGATTTTCAAATATATAATCAAATTAACACAGCGATGTCTTGTCCCAAGCTATGCAGAGCTCGTGTTATGGCTACATTTAACTAATCAACTATAAAGAATTTAGTACCGGATTAAGACGGGAATTGCTGTAGATATCTTTTAATATAACACAAATAAAGTCAGTAAAAATAATGTAAATGTAGTAATAAAAATATTTTTTATTATAACTGCTTCAATTTCATTATATGTTTACTAATATTTTATTTTGTCTACCTGTTTCGATAATAAAAGCCTGTTTCCCGTACCTTAAAAATATTGTATTCAGCAATCATTGTAATTATACAAATGTTATTTAATATATTGTTTGTCATTTCCTCATTGTATACTACAAAAAAAAATAGAATCTATTTATCTATATATCTTCAAAATAGTACGCACCTAATTCCTCTCCACAGTGCGAACACTTCTTTTTCCCGCTGACACTGAGCAGCTTGTCTTCCCTACTGGTGGGCGGCTCCGGTCGAGGCTCGGGTCGTGGTTGAGGTCTCACCGGTCGCTTCAAGTCCGCTGGCAGGTGTTGTTGGCTACAATACACAATTTATTATACACTACATGTTTCCCTCTATTTGCCATATCATTGGAATGTATATATTTTTTACCACTATCCCAACCGTTCAGGCCAGCTAATTCAATTGATAAGAATTAGCAGGAATCTCAGCTGGTACATTTTTTATTTTAGTCATACCATATATCTAGTTAATAATATGAGATGTTCCGCTCATTTAAAATATTTATATTAAAAGAAGTTGTTTCCAGTTATTTATACATATTTAGTTCTGATGTTGATTCTAAAAAAATATAACTTATCAACATTCGGAAAAATATTCTCTGAAGCACTGAGAAGAACAAAGCAGCAAGTTGGATGCTACAGTATTCTCGTACAGCCAAATCACTCAGGGGTATGATAAATAGATAGTAGCCGATTCTCAGACCTACTGAATATGCATATAAAATTTCATAAAAATCGGTGAAGCCAACATTGTGACACGAGAATTTTATATATAAGACTATGTGACTATGTTATGTCAGATTACAATGATGATTTACCTGGAGCTTAAATGCATCATATTGTGCAATGGTGCTGGTGCCATATCCTGGTGATAGGAGTGCCTCTGCGCTGCTCGGAGTTTGTTCCTTTGTTCTTCTATCCGGCGTTGTTCCGCTTCCTGAAACATGCACATTTTTTTTTCTATATTCACAATAGATAGACACAGTACAAAATATCAATCTGTAAATTTATTTAATAATTTACTATTAGATTTACAATTTTACATTGTTTAAGACTAAATTGAGGATATTTTTATTGAATGAGTGCTACTATTCAGTAGATGACTATTATCTATATATGTATTAGTAGATGACTAATGATGACCATAAAAATGTATAACTGACCTAACGATATTTACTTAAATATATACATAGAAAATACCCAGACAGATACAAACAATCATACTAAAGAATACAAATATCTGTACAGTGCGACAGAACCCGCCAGTATCGGAAAGTAAGGCGTGATCAACCGCTAGACTACCGTGGTCTAATATATACAGCGTGGAGACAACATTTTACTCCTTCGCAATGTCAACGCATGAGGAGTACCAGAATCGTCGCATGTTGATCGTGATATCCGTGATGTACTATCTTGTCATATACTATACAAGAATAGCATCACGGTTACCTACCACCGTGACGATTACTTACCACCAGGTAATAACTCTTGCGAAAAACACAAAGATGTCTTTAAATCTAAGATCCTGCAAACATTGATAATAAGACTGTACAACCAATGCATTCTACCAGTGCTAACATATGCTTGTGAGACGTGGACGCTGACCGCCGAAAGGGTCAATAAATGCTTGATATCTCCATACGAGACAGACTGATCAGAAGACGCACTAGAGTTACTGACATCATCAAAAGAATCGCACAGCTAAGGTGGCGTTGGGTCGGCCTCGTATGTCGATGAAGAGATGACAGCTGAACATACAGATCTCTAATGTGGTGACCTAGGATGGGAAGCAGAAGCGTAGGCAGACTAGCTGACAGATGGTCGACAAAAAAAACGGCAGGACCAACTTGGATAAGATGCGCCGCAGAGACACGAAATCTTAATGTGCCCACAGTAGGGGGAAGGGGATTGCTAGCAATGTACCATGTTAGGTTTACTTCCACGCGGTTCCCCCTGGAAACCATCTTGGTAATTAGCCATTTGCCAAAATGGGCAAACTGACCTGACTTCATGCTCATATTATCATCCTCCACTGGTGCCCCGCTAGCGTAAACCGTTAGCGCAGGCGAGTGCATAATTTCATTATCATCAATAAAAAAAAATGTACCCACTGTTGCAATAACGATTCAGACCGAATTCTATTCAGACCGAAGAAGGTCGATAATTATGCAGGGCATCGTCCAAGAGTGGACTAATCTATCCTGAAGAAAAGAGGAAGAGGTAACAATAAAAACTGATAACGCTACAATAGCTTTGTCTTGACCTTTGCTTCTATATCTCCACCTCTGTGAGGCCCAATAACAATCAGTCTATGAAATCTAAACGTTACTATCCAACGTAACACTTTATCGTAATTTGATTTATTACCTGAATGTGTTAATTAAATACGAGTAACATTGTTTTCCACTTACAACGTTATCTATGGAGAGAATTTTTAATTCAAACTCTGAGATAAGATTAAACGGTAATCACTATTTTATTACTTCCTGGTCGTATACGAGTAGTTTCATTTAGTTTTAAACAAGTCATGATAATACAACATCACGATTGTTATGCTACATGGCATAGACAGAGACTTAACTATATATTGTACTTTGACTTAACTAAGGACATCGTGGGGAATGTAACATCCAACATATCTGCATTTGAAAAAAATATTAACTTATATAAAATGTTAACTGTTATTTATACGAGCATACATTCACGCTTGTTTCTCACTGCGGTAAGCAGAGATTAAGTAACGCTAAATGCTTGGATTGCTACATAGGACAGCCTCGCTGGTCTAGCGGTTTAGCACAGCGCCTTCCGAAGGTCGCAGGTCCATTACTATTGAGTATGATTGTCTGTATGGGTCTGGTTATTTACTACGTGTGTATGTACACAAATGTATCAGTTTTCTGATACTTAAAATATAAGTTCCACTTAACATGGGACTAGATGACTCCGTGTGAATTGTCCTGAGATATTATTATTATATACCATTTGCTTCCTGTTCGTTCAAATTATACATCAAGATGGCCTACTTTTTATTTAGCTATTTTGCAAAATGCCCAAATATAAATTACGTGACATATTCAGGGAGGGGTGGGACGGGTGAGACGGATAATGTAACTGTTTGGAGAATCACAAACGTCATGTAAAAAAAATGTAATCTACTAACAGGTGTCTCAGGGCATTTGTAACCCTCCTTAATTGGATGGACGAGTAAAAATATACGTTACCTGTATTAGCCAATGCTGGTTGTAATTATAATTGGCTGGTTTCCGCTGTGGCTGCTGCCGGTTTTGCATCCACTCCGCGTTTGAGATCAGTTTCGGTGTGGGGGCCGCACTTAGTGCCTGAAAGCGATAAATATATTTTTACATCAACTGTATATCTTATCCATCAGAGAATAAAAATAATTGTGTCAATTTTGTGCAAAATTAACACTAGATGTCGTATGGATTGCAAAAACAATTACTAAAATCAGTTTAAAATTCATAACTGCCATACATACATAGATAGTCGTAGAGTCTTTTTTTCTCAAATTAAGAAATCAGTTTGAATGAAAAGGTACGTAATAGTAGAAAAGGTAGTAAAAGTAATTATTCTGTACATACAGTGTGTCACTGATATTTAATGCTAATAGAATAATTACTTTTTTCACTCTACTATACCATATACTTTTTATTTTTATATTTTTTTTGTATGAAATCTACAGATATTCAAATTGCAAGCTGACAAAATTTATTAACTGTTGTTTTCATTTATGTTCTATAATAAAGATACTACTTAGTTTCATTACTTATCCTATTGTATCTCTATTTATACCCTATGTGAATATTTTCTTAATATCTTACATTGATGTATTGGTACAGAATAGAATGAAATTCTTTGTAGCCTTAATAAGTAATAAACACGGCATATAATAATGAAATAGAAATAGTAATAGTACCTGTAAGGTATGCCTGGTCATGGATTGGTACGGTGTACTTCCGTTGGCAACAGGTTTGGGCCTCAGCTGGACTGTAGTGCGGTCCACGTTGGCATACTCCCCCGCTGATGGTACGCGGCTACTCCTGAAAATCATCAAAAATATCATTAATAAGATGATGATATGGCTTTATAATAATATTCTTGGACAATTCACATAACCCCATCGTCCCCCCGTCCCAAGTTAGGCAGAGCCTGTGTTATGGGTACGAGACAATTTTTGTACATACATAGTACATATAAAAAACATCCAGACCGACAAAAACAATTTACTCTTTAATACAAATATTTATACCGTGCGAGAAATCGAACCCGCGACCATCGGAAGTAAAGATATGATTAACTGGAATGAAATATTAATTGCCAACTGTCTTGATTCTTGTGAAGATCTTGGTGAGCACAACTTAATATGTTCTACATTTCGCTTAGTATCTATATTTTATACATACCAAGCGAAATGTAGAATTTAACGTGGCAAGCTGCGAACCTATTGTCATCTTACATAATTATGATTGTTATTTTCACTGGAGATTAATAAAAAAATTATTTAGGCACAGAATCGAAAATTTGGTTTATACGAAAGAAGAGAAGAAGAAAAGTAGGAATATTTATGATGGTTTTTTATGTATCTGGAACGGAAACTGAGCTGATAGACATTTAATGGTAAGTGGTAACCGCCAACTATAAACGCAAATAAGCCATGGATATCTCACTAACATAACTCTTCAATGAACTATCTACATAAGCATCTTTCAATTAAAATACTGCTTAAAAAGAAGGGTGCTTGGGGATTATAATAGGCAATATGGCGGTACCAACTCTTTTACGAAACCTAACCTTATGATGTCATGCTTATATCATAAAGTAAAGTATTCTCTAAAAAAGGATTTCGGAAAATTCTCATTAGAACGGGAAATAACTAATAATCGTGCATATATAGGTTTATATATATTAAATAGCCACTTTGTTAAATAACTTAAATTTATTTTTATCTCTGTTAAATTTAAAGATTAAATTTCATTCTGTTTGTTAATAACTAGTTAGACTTTAATTAAATAATAATCTTACTAAAGGATTCGGGCGTCATTTCTTTTATCACGCAATAATATTTTTATCACTAACTGTATTTATTCAATTCCATGAAAGTTACTTAAAAGTAATATTGTTAAGATTATATTTATTCGATTGCAATTTATTGATATTCAGATAAAACGTCTTTTTTTAAACTTAGCAATTGTAAAATATTTTTTCAGTTTATTATTCCTAATGATATCTAATGAAAGCAAAATTAATGTTCACAGAAAGACTATAGAGAGTTTGTCTTGAAAAGTTGAAAGGGTATAAATAAGCCGAAAACCAGTCGCAGTTAGTCAAAATTATTTGTTAATATAGAATAATGATAAATACTATTTTATTTTTATTGGATATTTTTGATACTTCTGTGCGTCCTAATTTTTTTAATAACCCTATCGTCCAGTTCGGTAGTTACTTCAGTTAAAAAGAACTGGCACAAAACTCAAAATGAAATAAAAGTGCTAGTATTCATTTTTCATTTTTATAATGAACAAACTTCAACTGAAATGTACAATAGAAAATAATTTTTAACATCTTAAACAAACTACCGTTTACTTTATCAATATGGTATGCAAAGTATTATATGTATTTTAAGATTATTACTTTGTTTTTTGATAAAATTATCCAAGTTTATAAGTATTTCACTTGTTTTTCACATGTATTTATATTTATAAGTTTAGCCGTAAAGTGTATACCTTTACTAAACTTGTAAATATAAATAACGTATCGCAAAAATGTATTTCAGCGTTGCAGAACGCACCTTTCGTTAATTCTGTTATATTTTTATTGTTTTTTTTTTATAATTGTCAGGAAAAGGTTTGCATGTACAAACAGTTTGTCTGATATTCCAGTTACATGAAAAAAAAACAACAATCATAATTTACTTGTAAATAAAACTGCAATATTTATTATATACAGCTTGGTTTCCATGGATGACGTAAATTACAATTTATAAATAATTCATTATGTAATCGTTGCATTGTAGATATGGTATAATGGAGGTAAAAAGATGCCATTTTGTTCGTGAAAATGGTATAGTCATTTTCTCCACAGATTGCATTATTCAAACAAGAAATAAGTATACACAATTATAGAGATGACTGTTCGTAGATTAATCTAGAAAACGAGTTTATTTTCCTTGTGTTAGATATTTATTAAATGCTGATGATTTCAATCATTTCAACTTGTATAATTTTTTAGTTTTTGACTTAAACGTAGAAGTAATACATATTTATGTATTCCGAACATTCCATAATAATGTAATTCTAAAGAAATCACTTTAATAATTTAATATATCGACATTATTATGTTAACCCTTACTTAATTATTATTATTTAGAAAGGGTTAACGTTATAATTGTGTACAAACTATATTAAAATCTAATTAGGAACTCCCCATATTGATATTGGTTGAAAAAGGAAAGAAATTAAGAGTGGGAGTTTAAAGTAGAGTATATATTGAATAAAATTTGTTTATAAATGGTAACAGAAGGTTATAATCAAAAAGGTAAAAATGATTGGCTAGAACAAAGCTGACCCGCGCAATTTCGTCTACGTCACACTTACTTGACATATTTCGGCCGAATTATCTTTTTAAATTATAGTTTATATGTTATTCTGATGTATAAGCTATTATACATCAGAATAACATATAAACTATAATATATATATATTACTATGATATATATACGATATATATTACTGTAAAGTTTCATCAAAATGCGTTAGTAGTTTTTTCGTAAAAGAGTTACAAACATCCATACAAACATACACAAACTTTCGCGTTTATAATATTAGTAAAATGATTCCACAGTCAGACAGGCAGATAATGCAGCGTATGCAATAAAACATCGTCAGCGTCAGCTCTGTCTCACATATTTAAACTGTCAAGCAGATTACTTTGAAAGATGTGTTGTGATTGAACGATAAGAAACAGATATTACGCATTGCAACGCTTAAAATTACCGATAAATTGATGAAAATATACCATAACAATATCTCCAATCCCGCGCTCTATCTACAATTTATTGAAAATCATATATTACTTATATTTAAGTTTCAACTATTGAAGAGATATGACGTGTGAAGACACAATGGCTGTACAGGCTGGAGTCTTTTTCCCTTTCTGTGACGGGAAGATACGAACAAAAAAAAGTATAATTTACGGGCACAAAGCGATGATTCCTTAGTCCGCTGAAGTAGTAAAATAAAGTGTGTCACACGATAATGTGATGTCATTCTAAACCTAAACTATATAGCCGACGGTTGCCCAATGTTCACTTCCGCTCAAATGGGCCATTACGTTGTTTGCCATTCCCATTAGATAAAAAGAATAATTGAAATTAGTACATAAAATTGATATATTTTAAATATCAAAATGTAAAAGTATATTTACTAACCTCATAGTAATTTCTCTTTCAATTGACTCCCGACTCCTTGGTTTTGGAGGTAGCACAGGCTGCGTTGGTCTCACTGACGGTACTGGCCTCTGCACTTCATTCACTTTTCCTCTATCCTCATATAACACCTTCCGGCTCTCCTCAACACCGAAATGCCTTTGAATATGCTCCTCAGACACGAAAGGCTTCCGTTTCATGTTTTCATCGAATACCGGCCTCTCAGGGATTGTTGGTGCTACTGGTGTGTAATTTTCTTTGATCAACAGATTTGGCATTGAATGTCTGTAATTCCCACTATCAGCTTTGTTTGGTCGACTGTGTAATGGCGGTTTCTCTGGTGCATTGGACACAATTGATACATCTTGTACAGACTTCTGTATTATCCTGTTTTGATCTCGTAGCAAGTTTTCCCTTTGCCTCCTAAGTTCTTCCTGCTCAAGTTGCAGCAGTTCTCTTTCGAAACGTAGCACTTCCTAATTTCGGATTGGTTATAGGTATTAATAACGTGTTATGGTTTGTATTTAGAGTTAGTAACGGATTTTAGTGACAAGTGTTAGTAGGTAAAGGGCATAAGCTAGCGTGCATTATTTCTTTTGTTATGTTTACAAATGGTACATGTTATGGGAGTCTCCATTAAAAAAATGGACAGCTTATTTTTCAATGGAGTTTTAGATCTTCGGTTTACATGACAAATCTCTATATTCGTTATAAATGTTTATATATATATATATATCGTTATAAATTAATAATGATTAAAGGAAAACTATTTACAGCTACTTTGGATGTTATTTTAGCAGTCGTATGTATGTACAAATATTTTTTGAAGTATAGCAATATTTGAATAATATCATTTTTGAAATTTGACATTAAATATTTCTGCACGTAAAAATACAAATTTTCAATACACGTGTCTATCTAAAGTTCCATATTTTAATATCCATGTAAACCGAAATATGTTTAGTAATATAAGTGTTTTAAAACTTGTAAGTCACCTTTGTATGAGAATCATCAGTGTTCCCGTCTGGCCAATCCGCGTTAGTGCGACACGCCTGCAACGTTACACAGCGCGGCCATCTTGTTAAATGTTATTTACACACAACAAAATGGCGGATGAATAGCAAACCATAATATTGATACAGTTTTTAGGATTATTTGATACACTATACGCATCAAGATTAGATAAATTAAGGTTAATGTTCTACATCTGACTTTGATTGATTAACTAATGTTTATTCACATTGTAATGTCGTTGTTCTTAAAGTAGGAGGACATATTTATGTTATGAGGTTATGTGTCGAAATATTATGGTTTTAACATCAAATATACATAGATTTAATGATAATTTTTAATGTTAATATTAGAACAAGTTTGAATGAAATTATTATTCTATTTTAATTTTAGCTATACAATAACTATACTAATCACTAGCTAAGAAAAGTAAAATGTATTATTATTATTTTAAGTAGGATATGCAAATAAGTGCAGAGTACATGCAGCGCAAGTATATATATATTTATATATTCTACAAAAGGTGCTAGTGCAAAATGAAAGGCAATATTGATAACGTAAATAATATTTATTTTTAAATTTAACATACATCCATATACGACTAATCAAAACTAATATTTATAAGTAATTTGAAAAAAATATAATATTTTTATTTTAATGGATTTGGTACAATAAATTATACAATAAAAGCATTAGAAAGCAGGATATTGGTTAATATAGCAGCTATATTGTTTTGAATACCACAAGCTACTTATTTATATATATATTGATATATAAGTAAATCAATATTTCTTGTAGTATACAAAACATAATTATATACAAACTCCTTCCATATCCAAATAGATAACATATAAATGTGCTTTCAAAGCATTTTACAGTGCAAAAACCTTACTTAAACCATACCTTTCATTAATTGTTTAATTTATAATCACTCGTAATAATAATTATTATAATTCGAGAATTTTTGTTGAATCAACTTCTCAATATAAATCTATGTCTAACACTAAGAGATCTAAACTTCAACCAAAAAAATCTACATTTTCAAATTTATATAAAATGGAAATTTGTGTAGTAGATATATGTATATATATGGTATATAATATTTTTGCTATTGCATTTCACTGGTATGAAATGAAAAAAACAATAAAAATATAGTAAAGTACTTAAAAATACCAAACTTATCTTTTACATATTAATATTAAATAGAAATATAACCGGTTTATAAAATAAATGAAACCTATGAAGGTAAACCTTGAAACGCCAAAAGGAAAGAAGTAATGGCATAAAATATATTTATTCTAAACCTAGCTACGTGTATGAAAGAGAAGAGCTTACTTTACATTTTTTTTAATATAATATTAATTTAGTTTTTATGCGTTACCTGTTGCTGTTGTAGTTTTTTGTCCAATTTATCTATTTTGCTAACGTCAGACTCTTGTGATACGGTTAGTTCTGTTAGCTTAGAATTTAAATTAGTCGTGAAATTCTTTTCTTGTTTCTTAATTTGTTCCTCTTCGTCTGATGTCACTGTTACGTGTGTGTAGGGCTGAAAAATTAATGCAACAATAAATTATAGCTACTAGACTAACTCTCAAGATCAAACTAATAAGAACTAAAAGTTGACATCCTTGGCTTGTAATGGCTATCCTTTTGTCATTAACGTTACATCTTGTTTCTTCTGAAAGCTGTTTTTGGTTTGACATTTGACTTGGGCAAGGTAAATAACCTTTAAGTAACTCCTTAGTCCTTAAAAATGGAAACTGTGGGCATTTTCTAAATAATCAAATATAATCCTGAGGTCGTTATCGCCAACACAAAATAACTTTTGTGTGAAAATTAGAATTTTTGACCGTCTTTCCAGTGATGAGAAGACCGATAGATTTAGACATGGAATTAATCCGAGAAACACTCCCACCAAATACACCCACCCAAATGTGGTTATTTCAAGTGTACCGTAGAACCGATTAAGTCTTTGACTACTCTATCTAAGATAATAGTCGTGAAGGTAAATAATTTAATTATGTTAATACCCACATTAAATTTTTACTCCGTAATAATAGACCTTACCTCGCTATTTTGTCTGCTATGAGGGTTTGAAGTCTCAGGAGAAGACTGCCCCTTGTACCAAGCTTCAGCCGAGGGGCCTCTATCAATATCGACACCAGAGTCCCTACTTTGTCTCAACTTTTCATCCATATCATGCGAAAGAGTTTTCTTATAAAGGAGCTTCTCTATTTTCGTCTCTTCTTGTAGGAACGATGTTATGTCTGGTCGCGGTGCTAACGTTAAATCGACATCTAAGTAACTGTCGTCTTGGCCTTCGATGCCTAAAAAGCTGGTGCGCTTATTCCTAATCTCCTTTTTGATGCGACGCGCTGAGCTGGTGTGTTTGAAGTTCCCCTGATATAAAATTGTATTATTGTACACTGAAATACTTATAAGAATAGATTTATATTTAGTATTCATAATTTTGTTGGTATGTAGAAAATAAAGTTATTTATTTATTTATAGTTAGCTCCCCAAGTTTGCAAGAATAAGAAAAAGGGTGAGCATTTTTCAATCAATAATTGAAGTCCGATTTTCATTTTTAATAAAAACTTTTCTAGTATATGTAGCTACAATTATTGTAAAATTAAGTTTTCTTGTTATAGTTAATATATTATAATATTTAGAAATAAGATAGCCTAGCATATTTTACAAATTACGCAAGTTACAAATCTTCCTAAATATTCCCATCCTAATGAAACTCATTAGAATCATTAGGATAGGAATATTTATCATTATTAAGCATTTCAATGAAACTATAATTAAATTCACAGGTATTTAAATACTTACGTTGCCAAGTAATTCATCTTCTGTGTTATCTTCGGTGGGTGGAGGAGGCGGTTTTTCTTTCGGCGGTTCCATAGCATTAGTAGCTAGATCTAACGGGAATGCTCCATCATCAACATTGTTCTGGTAAAATATATCTATATTTTCATATAATGGTGCAACAGATATTTTTTTATCACTATCAAAATCAAACATTGGATCAACTTTATCTGACACTTTTTCAGAGATGTTATTTCTATTCTCGACTTCCATATTGCTGTTGTTATAAAAATTTTCTTCCGAGTCTAATTCTTTGAACGCTAATTCTAATGCGTCAGTTACCTGTAAATTAATAAATTCGTCAATAACGAATTTTTATCTTATCCAAGTACATAAAAAAACATATTAAAATTTCAGAGTGAGAAGCTAAACAAAAATCAAATGAAAACTACACAAATTAGTTAAAAATTCTTAAAAAATCACACTAACAAAAATAATTACACTTTACAAAATTGAAAAACACATTACGTAAAAGAAAATAGGTCGGAATAGTGACACTTAAATAGCATTATAATTTTTAAACAAAATTTTGCAAAAGTATTAAGTTACAAATAAATAAAAAATACACATGCATGCATGCTATTTAAAAAAATGCGGCGGAAATGATAGTTAATGAAGCGAAACATCTACACGACACAAGTCTTACCTTGGATACCCATCACCAAAAGCTGATGTAATGTCACCTAATGCAAGAATCAGAACGTATCAATATAATTTTATACTTAATTAAAACCTGACAGTACAAAGTGATGTATTCCTCAGGAGAACCCTTCATAGTCTGAGGCAGTAGTCATGCTCAAGATAAAACTATATTTGAACAAGATAATATGCCACAGATAACATTATCTATGTAATTTTAATTCCTAAACTAACATATTTGACATTTTCAGGTAGGTCATAAATCTAATATATAAAATATGTATGAAAGGTAACATATACATAAATAAAACAAATATAACAATGTAACATATATTTTTGGTAATATGAATTACAAATATCACGTTTTACGAATAATTATGCTAATGATTAGGACGTTAAATAATGATGAGTTTATGTCTATGTATTATATCATGTAATATACTTAAATATACTATTTTATACAAGTATGATACTACAGATTATAACCCTGTTGGTACTAAAAATCTATTTGTTTATTCGATTAATGTATTATTTGCTAAGTGCTAGGAATTTAATGGGATGTTTAGCACATACGAGAATACAGGAAAGGTACTAATATAATTGTGAGCAAATTATATTATGTTGATACTACATAATTTCTAACACTTGTTTATACTTGTGCATTTAGAGTATATTTTAGTTAATATTAAGGAATTCTATATCATTACGAAATATTAAAGAAATTAAAGGTGAGATCAATAGATCATAAAAATTCTAGAAAAAATGTCCATATCTGTGTTTTCTCATCTATCTTGCAGTATAATAGCAATTCATGAGAAACAGAACGAACGTAATCAGACTTAAGCCTGATTATCAGTACCAGAATTATTCGCGTTTGTTACTGTTGTCGTTGTAATCTTATTGTTAATAAATAAAATGGTTTTTCTTCTATTAGGTTCCAAGCAACGCTTAGTTCTTTTCTGCCAAAAAGGATTAGAATCTTGTGAACTTACCGTGACTTCACCGTTTTGGGGATTTGTAATGGTGTTATGGCTTTGATCAATGACCTCATTGCTTTGGTTATTAGAGATTGTACCTTTAATGTTGTTATTATGAGTATGATTATATGAATCGTGGTCACTGATATTTACATCAGTAGATGAGCATTTAGATGTGCACGTTACATCAGCTAGTTTATTAATAAGTGAGATATTGTAATTAGTGGTCTTTAGCGTTTTAATGGAATTCTTTGGTGAAATGTTAGTAGTAGTTATTATATTAGAAACAGTTACCATTGGCATGCTCTTGCTATTAGTAGAAATATTAGTAGTGCTTATTTCATTACTGTTAGAATTGTTCCCAGCACCAGCGTTCATTTTGTTGCAAATTTCATTCAAGTTTAAATGTATAGTCATTTTCCCTTCAAAAACTACCGTGTCGCCTTCCGAAGCAGTAGACACAGGATCAGTCAAACTTACACTGATATCTTGATTATCCAAACTTTTGAGGGTATCTTCATCTTCTTTGTCCATTTGAATCTCTGTTACTTCTTCAGTGACACTGAGTTCCTCTGGTTGAGAAAGCGCTTGTATATAGTTACTTCCACTATCAGTGTCTTCAACTTTACTATCTTGGTCTTGTTCTTCAACTTCCTCAATGATTATATCTTCTATAATGGTTTGAGTTTGTTGAGGAATAATTTTGGGATCCTCTGTTTTATGAGGCTCTAATGTTAGTGCTCCATCCTCATTTGATGATTCGTATTCAGATATCATAGGCTCTTCAATTGGCGAAGCTACTTGAGTTAAATCAGCGATGTCATCTGCTGGAACGCAAGAATCTCTTGCCGTATGGATACCGCTATCTTCTGTTTCAATGTCACTTGGAATAGTGTTATTTTGCATTTCAGCACAATCGAAATCTTCTAAACTTTGAACTCTTTCAAAAGAATTTGGCGAAGACTGTCCATTAATATCTAAGCTATCTAGAGATCGACAAAAACTTTGCATTTGGCTCTCTATTCCAGATAAGCTTGATTTCAGAGAACTATCTGATACCTGATCTTTTGGAATAATATCTCGTGTGTCATGATTAGCAAGTTCTTCTTCAACAGATATTTTAGGAATTTCCTTATTTTTGGCTGCATCAAGACATGATAAACGCTCTTTTATACTCATTGACACTTGTTTTACCTCGGTTTTAATTACTTTTTCTTCTTCCGAATTTTGCGACTTAAAAGTTGATAAACGTTCTTTTAATGATTTTGTATTTGTAAGATCACCATTAGATAATCTTTTGAGTTTTTCGGGCTCTGTGGATGCAGATTTTACTTTTTCAAGAGAGGATAAACGTTCTTTTAATGGCCTTACTTCAACAGGTAATTTATTCAGGTCGCTTGTAGATTTCTGAATCTGAATGTCATCTGTGAATTTTTCTAAATTAGACAGTCTTTCTTTAATTGACTTTTTGTTTGTAATATCAGGTAATTTTGGTTTATTCATTTGTGACTCCTGTGAATTCTCTCGTTCAAATTGTTCTCTTCGTTTGTTTATATCAACTTTAGGCAAATCTTTTTTCTGATTATTATTTTTGGCGTCATTAACTCTTTCATGTTGGAAAGATGAAACTTTCTCTTCAATTTTATTACTGACCGATGTTCTGATTCTGTTTAGATCGCTGTTTATTTTTTCCGGTGATTTTTCTTTGAAATTATTATTTACGACTGTTTTAATGATGTTACTGTTAGTTTGTGAAATGATTCTCGACTTGTAGCCCTCAATGGCACCCTCGTATGTGTACTCCTCGGGTTCTGGAGAGCTGATTGTCGTGGTCGTACAAGTGTCGTATTCGTTAGCGCTTGAGCACAATTTGCGGTTGGTGTCACAGTTGGACATATTGTCGACATCTGAATGGTGTTTATCCAGGTCGATACCGTCGCTCTGAAAATGTAATTTAAATAAGCCTGATGTGTTTGATGAATAGTAACCTAATTAAGTTTTCATGTGCTGTTATGTGCAAGTGACTCTCCTGGTGCTACAGACGTCCATAGACTACGGTAACCGATTACCATCTGATAGGCCGTATGCTTGTATGCCTCCATCGTATATAAAAAAGGAATTTCTTGACTTCTTTATAATGTATTAACAAAACTAAGTAAAAGACTTTTATATTATATGTCAAAATATAACCAATGACAAATTTACTTACAGCCAAGCTGTGTGTGTCACAGTCCTCGCTCAAGCTGCTTTTTGTGCTGGAAGTGCCTATACCGAGGTCACTTAGGTCATGGGCGTCATCGTCGGCGAATACGGCAAGATTCCGCCGTCTGCGGCCGGCTCTGTAAAGAAAAGACAAAATCTATTAATGGAAGAAACATCTGCGTAAATGTATATTTTTATTTATTTATTTATAGCATTGGTTATCCATATATTTATTGAAGTATCGAAGGTCAAAATTACTAATTAGTAAAAGAAGCTAAGACTATTTCAGTCAATTAACGTGACGTCCTAGTTAGTATCAATTTAACCTGTCCTTCAGTGATTCTCCTGTGAAGGATACTGATAATAAAAAAATAATAAATAATAATAAAAACTAATCACAGACGGCGGTAGGATAGCTCTCTATCAAGTTAGATACAAATAAATACAATATACGGATAATGTAAATAGTCGCTATGATGGAGACAATTAACAACATTTTTGATTACCCCATCTGGCTTTACAGACAGATTTGTTTTGTTATAGCTCCATTCATACATTGACGGTCTCGGTGGTCTATCGGTTTATAATAAATACTGTCTTACTTTCGCTGTCGCGGGTACGATTCCTCGCACAGTACAAACATTTGTATTCATAAGTGTGATTGTTATTAATGGTTTGGGAGTTTTCTGTGTATAATATGTATTTACAAAAATGTGAATTGTCCTGAGTTATTATTATTGTTTTCTCAGGCCCCATATTACTGAGTATGCAATATAATAATATTAGTATTTAATAGTCAACTTATAGGTGAGTCGTGTTTGGCGAATTACTCATCGATGCTGTCATACAATACCATACCTTACGCTGCCTAAGGAAAAGCAAATATATAAATAATGATTAGTCCGATTATCCATTCCCAGTCTTATTTATTCACCATATCGGTATTGGGATTGGTAGAAGTAAATAGCAGATAGAGAACGTCACCCGTTTATTAAGAAAACACTCCTGTGTTAGGTAAGAATATTCCTCTTACTATCTCAGCAACAACATCACAACACACTAGTAGCGATTTGGACCTCAACTGAAAGACCTTATTGGACATCGACATAGCATATAGAGTCTATATCACGACGTGCATCTGAATGCATATATAATATAAGCGTATTGTAAATGCAAAAATATTCGAAAGTAGATCTATAACAACTACTTTAGCTACCATTTAATGTTAATTATTAATAAATTATTTGAGTTCCAAATAATAATTTTTCTTTTTTTTTTGCTACGAGTGAATAACTAGTTACTGTTAATTCAGAAAGATTACGTAAGAGATATGAATTAAATAAGATTATCACTTCAATGCGATAACACAAGAATAATAAGGTTTTTATATATTCGTTCAAAGGTACATCATTAAAAGCAGGGAATATGTGTACCCATTTTAAGTATAAACTAAAGTTGCATATTAAAATACTATAGTGATAGTACTGGGGTCTATGTTCGATCACAATTCATGCAAATTTTATATTCTAACGTTATTGAACTATTGTCAAAGACTAAATGTGTGTATTAAACGAGTGGTAGTTTCTATGTTTTTTCTAATTGTATGTACGTTTAAGCTTCATTATAACAAAAAATGTTATATTTTTGCATAAATAAGCATACGGCCCATTTGATGGTAAACGGTTACCGCAGCCTATGGACGCCTGAAACACCTGTACAAAGTTTTTGCTTCACGTATTATTTATTTATAATTCTTTATTAATTACCAATATTAAAAGTACATAAAAAGAAAATAATACATAACAATACATTAAAGAAAGAAGAAGGTACAGAAGGCAGTCTTATCGCTAACGCAATCTCTTACAGACAACCATAGGAAAGAGAGTATATGAGTGGAAATAAGGTAACAAAATATAACATATATGTATATAGACACTTTATTATGATTTCCCCTACAATAATTTAAAACAATACAGGAATAGTTATATTTTAAGATCTCAGTTCAAGTAAAATACTACGACGTTGTTTAGTCTATAATATGGATTGATTGATGGAAGATAGTTTGGTTGTTAGAGAGCGTGTAACAGCGAGGTCGCAAGTTCAAATAGTACACAGTCGAGGCAAACATTAAAATCGTCAACATAAACATGCAACTTACAATTGGAAAATACCGATATAGAAGTGAGTATTTGTACATAGGTAGATAATGTTTATTGTAATAACATTACAAGTATCATGAACAGACATACATAATGGTTAAATCATACATGAAGTTATATAATATATTTTTGCAATTTATTCCATTATTTTCTTTCTTCGGTTATAAATTTGGATATACCATAGTTCTAGGCTAATTAAATCGGAAATAAAATGAAAATATGTTAATACCAACGTTGTATTTTGGTGGTACAAAATGCAGTAAACATTTTTTAAATTTCATTGTCAACGACGATATAATCTCAGAAACTAGACTCTTATACATAGCAAATTCCTGTTTTCCCTTTGGTGGTTATTTTTCTCAGGTAACTTAAGCTTAACCGTAGGAAAATAATCTACATTTAACAGCATATTCTGTCAAAATTTCATTGTAATTCATCCAGCTATTTTCACGGGAAACACAATTTTATTAAATATAAAGTTGATATTACTGTAATAATCCCTTAAGCGTCATAGTTTAGAAATAAAACTTTTCACAAGAATTCATATACTCGTACATCCCAAGCTGTCCCTCTAGTTGACTCGCCCAAAGAACCAGTATTGTTTAGTATTCAGTGAAATGAAGCACGCCCATCAAGGTGAATGTCGCATTACGAAATTATTGGCTCAATAACGACATAGCATTATCGTCTATGATATAATATATGAGAATAAAAAGTGAAAACTGGTCAAGTCACCGTCACACGATGGTACTTTCGCCGTCACAGTTTTGGCGATTTGAATAGAAAGTAGATGGTTATTAAACAGCGAGCGTTACGGGCCGTGTGTGGTTCGTGATAGGTTCGGAGGTCATACGATCATTTATATAAAAATCAGGAATATACAGGAATAGTGTACTCGCTCGAAAGCCCGAGAAAGTATTAAAAAAACGCATGGGAATTTTTAAAATTTCATAAAAATAACTCGCGGTTAATTTAACAATATTGTATGGGAAGAGCAAACAGTATCTTTTATTCCTATCTTGTTTCATCGAGTAGGATTTGTTTCCTTCATTTTATAGGGTTATAACTTATAACCAATAGGAATACGAATTAACAGGCCGTCTATGCGGTTTTTTTACATTTGTCTTACACTATTAATTTATAATATTTAATGAATGGGATCAGAAAGAATCACATGATAATCATGATACTATTTATAGGTAGTTAGACGAACCATATATTATTATTATGCAATACCTTATTATAACAAATGGGAAGTCAGAAACAGTAATTTCCACAGGAATCGAACACTGATCCTTGAGCGTGACGTGAGCTCGTGCGTTTCGTATCACGAGTCAATTTGCCGGAGGCGGCATGTGAAGGATAAAGAAATTCCGCCAATACCGAGTTTGAAGGAGCTCATGGAATGCAAGGGAACGGCCTGACAAGCACGACTTGGGCGTTGTTATTTCGATTTGTTAAAGCACAAGTTCCCAACCAGGGGGCGTACAGAGATATTAAGGATTCCTAATACGTTAAAATTAAAATTCGTTTGATGTTTATTTCTGTAATTACAAGTCGAGGAGCATGAATGAAAAATGTTACGTTTAATGTGGGAAGGATGAACATAACAAAGACTATTAGGAATCATCGCGACATTGTAGCTTAAAAAAAAAATAACTTTAATTATATGACTGCACAATTTTAACATTTTGTCATCGATTTTAATTTCATTTACATATTACATATTTACATATAATTGATGGAATGAAATAAACCTAAAGTAGAGTAAACGTGACTATAATTAAGAAATTATCCATAATAATTTTGCAGTACCATTTTCATGTTGTTTTTTTTTCATAAGGGCAAATTTTCATGTATACTGGTCACGTATCTCTGAAAATATTTAGCAGAGTATGTTTAAAAATATTCTTTAAGTAAGTCTAGATGTACGATATATTTTTAAATCCTATCATTACATAGTACAGAATAAAGTCGCTGTCGCTGTCTCACCGTCCCTATGTATGCTTAAATCTTTAAAACTACGCAATGGATTTTGAAGCGGTTTTTTAATAGATAGAGTCATTCTAGAGGAAGATTTATATATATTTAATACATGTACACTGTACACCCGTACAAAGCCGGGGCGAGTAGCTAGTTATTTATAATTCGAGCATATTTATTTGTAATATATAACAAGTCACGTAATAATTTTAAATTTATATGAATCCTGTTGGCTTAGAACTATTAGTTGAAAAGGCAGTTCTAATAAGAAGTGAAATGCTAAGTAATCCGACGTGAGAGATGTTAAGACTCGATTAGACTGCGATTACCTGCAGGATGCAGGTTTAAACCCAGTTTAATTGATAACATAAACGTCCCGACATAGAAACATTATCGATGTGTATAAACAAATCTATATATAATTAAACATGACTATGACTATATATAATTACACATAGGATAGCCAGAAGTAGTTAAAAGAACAAATTATCGGGTTGTAAGACATTTTCTTCTAGTCTTTTCATTTCCTCGAAATTAATCAACATTGTAATATTGACTCGAACTATTTTATTATTACTAATAATAATATACATTTATATATTACTATTGATCTTCAATGGCCCTTACTGTTTTACTGAACAATAGGGGTGAAAGAAATCCAAACTTATGTAAGGACTTATGAAGTGGCTGAAGGGAAATGCAACAACAGAAACTGAAACAGCTCCTACCTAACGGATATAACTTTAGTGTGAGGGTTCAAACATCATATAAATCAAAAGAGTAGTAAACATCAGAGGCGGTCATCAATCAGCATTAAAATAGTTATTGCAATTTTTTTTACGGAATATATGTATGTACGATATATCGTAATATTTTATCGAAGTCGTGATACTGCTGAATAACAGTCAAAAAATATCTTTAATTGTAAAAATAATATTTAAGAATAACACGCCATATTTTTCATGGAGAGGTAAGTATATACATATATACTGTAC